GCCGCTATTGTTTTGACCGTCCGGCCGATGGTATACGCGTGGAACGATTAATACTTATTACGGGAACGATAATTGTCATGCGAGTTGTACAACTAAATCCGGTTATAGCTCAGACACCACGCAGATTTTTTTTTTTTACTTCATATATCCCACACGGCGATTGAAAGAAGAGATTAATTTTTTACACACGTTCAGTTCTGGTCTAGCGAAAAGTGATCATTTTGAATTTATTTTGCAACAAGAACCGAATCGTCCCAAAGTTGTAAAAAACCCACTTTCTTTTTCAGCTTGTTTTCTACGTTGCATAATTTTCTAAAATGTATTTTCTTATTTTTAATTTTAATTATTTTTCTTAACTGGTTTCAGAATAATGTATTGTTTTTGTTTTTCTTCAATACAACATGAAAAATCGAAAAATGGTGTTTTTATTTGTTTAAAAATTGTTGGGGTTATATTTTGTTCACATTGTTTCCTTATAAGTATAGAAAAGCTTTGTAAAAGTAGTCAAACGACTAGACCGAGTGGTTTGACTTGACTATCCCACAATTATTTAATAATATCATTGTAATTTTTCAACGAACAAGTATTAAAATATTTTATTGCTGTGGAGAGTTAAACTAGAAAATTTATTGTTTCATAATTTCGGTTAATATCAGAATATATTTTTTTCGAAGAGTTGTACGAGGCTTATAAATTATTACAACAACATAAATAAGAAGTTTCTTCAGCCAAATAATTGTGTTGCAAATTTTGTAAACAATTATGTAGTTTACACACAAACGCGTGTCTATCACTTGGACACTTTCTGGATATTTTAATGCGAACTGAGCTGTTGTTTTGGCCAGCGCTAGGTAATGACGAAACCGATTTAAAAAAATTACCGTAATGTTGATTTTACATAGGTATTTTTGTTTACTACATTGTTTTTTTTTTTTGGACAAAGAGTCTAAAAACTGTCGATTACTCAAGTGTAACCGCACTGCAATTAGGCTTAATAAACGTAGGTACAATTTTGATGTCAACCTTTTTTTTAAGTGTAATGCGATAATAATAACAGCCATAAAAGAACACGTCTATAATATTGTCTCATTTACCGCAAGACGTGCCTGATATACTCACGGTGTGTACTACTTACCTACATCTTAAGAAGTTGGCTGCAAATAAACTATATGAAAACCGATTTTTATTTTTGAATAGAAAACTACAATTTGTCACCCGGTAAAAATGTGTAAATTTTTTATTGTTATGTATACGCTATACTAAGTGTTGCGTTTAAAACTAAATAGCAACGCCCTAACCACATTTCAATATAATATACCAACCACTTCCTTGGGTAGAAAGCCGGCGACAAAGTATCGGCAAAGGGTCACGCCAAAGTCATATTATTATTATTACTTTTTTTTTCCATCTAAGTTCCGGTGCTTAGCTTGTTTCGCGTTAACCACTAATGACGCGGCGGTGTTTCATTACTTTTTAAATGTCAATATTTGTTTGACATTACACGGCACGACGGGGTCACAACAGGTCTCTGTGGTCACATCCATAACTACACCCGAAGCGGTACCAATATCGATGAATCACACTAGTGAATAGGGCCGTTAAGACGTTTAATACACATCTCTTGTTCGGCACATCACATTGATCATCGACCGGCGATAGCGGCGAATACAAAACTACATATGACAGTAATGAAACCAAAAAGGCGTCCAATCATAGGCCGAAGCACACCTAACCATGTACGCGTGTTTTGTAAGCAGAGAGATTGAGAGAACAATTTTTAAATTTCAAAAATAATTGACAAAATTAAAGGTTAAACAATATTATATAAAAGTCTTTTGAGTATTTTCGATTCGTCTCTTCTTGGCAATGGGAATAGTAAAAGAATGTCAAAAGCACACATTATATTATGGAATTCACTTATTTCAGTTATTTGGAGAACACTGTTCAACAACGTTTTATACTGTTCTATACTAATACATATTCAATACTGTACACTGTAATAGTACTTTGGTGTCATCGTACCGTTTGGCTTCTTGTCATTATTACTTGTATAACAAATTAGTTATTCGTAGTTCTCAATCTAATAGAGCGTTTTTTGAGGTGTATAAAAAATGTCCAACAATTTAAATTTTACATCATCTCGAGGCTACCCGCTATTACTCATTGTACCAAACTGTTCGCGGACAGAACAATAACGCACGGGTGTAAAATTATGTTGTTTAAGTGATGCAAGCAAATTTATTTGTAAACCGACACAATACCATAATAATATTGGCCCACGCCGTCGTTTCCGAGTCGCCTGAGATTATCATAATCTTGGGAAACATGAGGAGCTTCGCTATTGTCTTCTCCTTGGAGAGGACGGTGTGTAATGCGTGTAACGGATGATTATGGTTAACTATGGTCCAGTCGATAATATCAAGAAGAAATTAGACCTTTTTTTAACCCTTTCAGACCTAACCTAACCTAACCAAGTTTTTTCAGTTCTATTTTTTTTTTATAGATCTTTACTGTTGACTAACACTTAAAACTATTTGTAACAAATAAAATTAACAATATACCTAGGTATAAAACAATTTTATTTATCATATACATATATTCTTTAGGTATACAAACAAAATTAACATTACATTTATAAAAAAACAATATATAGAGTAAAATGTCCTTTGGATAAAAACTTTAACAGAAAGAATAAAATATTCATATTATTTTAAGAATAATAAAAAACAATAATTAACAATTTATATGTTTAAAATACTTACATTTAACGTATAAACGAAGTTTTTAAATTGCTCAGGACGATCAGTATATCAAATTTGATAAGAAAAATGCGGGTTTTATTATCTCTGTTGTTTGATAACAAAAATCGTTTACCAAGGTAAAATTAGTTGATTACCAACACTTGACGCCCAATTGCCATTGTAATGACATACTATTGGAGGTACAATAAAATGATAACGGTAAAAGATAATCTCGATATTAAATCATAATATGCATACAATATAAATTGAGAAGCAAAAAAAAAAAATATGGGATTTTTAGTGTTTATTTTTTTGTTGAAAATTGAAGATAATGTGAAAAAAATGGCTAAAAATTTTTTAGCCAACTTTTTTTTTTTTTGACAATCTTTCATTATCTTTTCATATTTCATCCATAGCGCATTCTTATCATTTTTAACGTATTCTACACATGTTTTTACGTGTATATATATGTATTACACAAAGATATTATTTGAATTGAATTTTATAACGGCTTTTATTTTGTTGTGCCATTATAATGGCGCGCGGGTCTGAAAGGGTTAAATTCTTTTATAGTTATTCGGTCGGGACGAATTGAATGTGTTTTGAAAAAAATATAACGTTTCGTCAGTGATAAAAAAATCTCAGAATCACACTTCATTAGCCGATGATGTATTTTCCAAACGCATTGTCGGCACACAATTATTATTGTGATAGTTGTGGCCAGCCATTCCAGACGCTTCCCCCGAGAAGTGCCGGGTTACGGTTGGTCTTTTGACCCCGCACAACAGACGACTTTCTAGGCGCCTCGTCCAGCTGACCCACGGTGCAAGAAAGTGACACACGAGCAATGCAAACGACTTATATTATATTATTATTATTATATCACATTATATGTGTATATAATATTATTATGTTAACAACGGTGCCTTTTTCTTGTCGGGCGGGACGTGTAAATCGCTGTGCGGCCGCTGAGAAATCAGAATAGAGCTAACATAGGAGTTGAGGCATCGGACGGCTATAACGAAAACAATAGGTTACTTAAAACGATCATAATTCATGTTGTTGTTATGGTTATATCGCAAAACGGGCAAGTGTAGATTTTTCAAAATTTATACTTCCATCCGTTGTATGTAATTGTATCAAATGCCGGAGAGGTCGAACAAACAGGCAGAACAAGTGCAATACAATTACCCCAAGCACTACACACAGGGTTCAAAGTACTGGGCCCAACCCATTTAAATCCAATGGGTTCAATTTCAATGTAAAAGAATAAAGTGGTTCTTGAGTATAATAGATTACCGACAATAAGCAATATAAATGCATTCGAATGATTAATGATAAATTAACAGGTAAACAAAATTATTATATAATTCTTTATAATTTTCCTAATAGTCGTAACAAAATAAGCAATATATGTTTTAACTTTCATTATAATTTATTTGGTACAACTTAATAAACTTTAACAAGTTTTTGTTTTTTATCTACTTGACTGTTAGTCGGACTAGTCGGGCTACATGTTTTATCATATTATTTTTCTTTGCTTTATAATACGTGTAGGCATAACATTAATACATGTATATAACACATTGTAGGAGTACTATTTTTTTTTTTAAATAAAAAAACTGTACGTTTTTTACTGTGTGTGTTTTACACGTGTTTTTTTCTTATTGCTTCGACGTTTATTTTCAACAGCAAATAACGCTATACCGCGTACACTTGCAGTACACGTCGACTTAGTCATCGAATATTAATAATTATTGTAGTCGAGGAAAATATTATTTTATATATTTTCATTACTTAATTGGTCCAACTTTCACATCTTGCCAACAAAAAAAAAAAATCATGCCTGCACAATACGAACTGTGACTGATGCTATTCTCTGTGGTATTCATTTTTACATGGATATTTTTTTGGAAAATAATTTTTACCGAGGAAAATCCAATATGGTACCATATTGTCGAAAAAACTTCATCGTAGAAGCACTTACTTATTATGACTACATTTTTTTTTTTTAGCATACAAAAACCTATCCTTCTATTAAACACACGGATATCATTCTAGGATAATTTTATAAAAGGGTTACATGTTTGAAATTATATGACTTAAAAAATGAAGATAATGTATATAGTATTTTTATTCATAATAATATAATTACAATAATATGATTGTGCAAACTGTTCTACTAAAATGTGCTCAATTTTTCATTTAGAATTATTTGTTTTAATATAAATAAACAATTATGTATGCATATGTATTTTTTCGCTATATTAAAGCTAGCGTACGAATATGATTGCTGTATTGTTAAAATATTTAAAATGTTTAATTTACATTGGAATATTCTAAAAAGGGAATAATTTGCTTAATCACCAAGTGCGACTCCGTTTACCTGTTAAAAACATAATTTTAAATAAAAATCAATATTTTAATTTTATGTAAGGGTAACGTTCTCAGTTAAAATCGTTATTTATAACAGAAAAGACAATTTTAAAAATTATTTTTATCATTCAAATAAAAGTAGTTAGAACAAATAATTTATGTTAAAAAAAAACTATTAAATTTGTCACCGAGAATATTAAATGCTCACCTATATGGTAACTATATTTTGAGTTGGAGGATTGTCAACTATGTTCAATTTTTTAACTTCTGTGTGACCTAAAATAAAATAATAATTTTGTTAATACTTGTAACATAATTCATCAAAATAAAATATTGATAATTTTATCCGAACACATCGTGCAGTTGAACACTTTCATGCGATATAACATCACATAGGTAAATGAGATAAGAAAAATGCTTTTATGGAAATAAAAACACAAGTAGTAGTAAATTTCGCCAATAGTAAAACTGAACAAAGGACAATGATTGATACTACTATAAAAGCGAGACGGTTACAATGGCTTGGACATACTTTGAGACAAGTGTCATACAAGTAGTGCTCGAAAGGAATTATACTAGGGAAAAAAAAGAAGAAGACGACCTAGAGCAAACTTCATATCACAGACACTTGGAGAACTGGGCGCAAAATATGTAGACATTTGAAAGAAAAACAGAAGACCTAGACGAATGGAGATGAGCTGTAGGAAGGCAATATGCAGTTAGAAGATGAAAACTATAAACGATTACTGCAAACGATTGTTTACAAACATTCCTGACGTGTAGACAGTTTCTAAGTAACTTGCCTACGTTCTTCTTGCGCTCAACAAGTCCAACGGTGCATCTTTAATACATACAGGGTGTTCAAAACGTTTGGAACTACTCGATTTTCAGAGCAGCTTTTGATTTGTATTTAAATGTTGAATGTTATTCTATGTAACTTTACGCATATTGTGTTATGCCTGAATTGACCTCGAGTGGTTTGACAATGAGTGATACAGACTTTTGAAATTAATGTGGGAACCCTCATTTTTTCCCCAGATATCCTGTTGGATTATAATTTTTTTTTTCTTCAAAAATGGTGGTGAAAATTTGAATTTCCGCTCAGTAGTTTTTTTAAATAATGCTATTGCTCAAAAATGGTAAATGTTGACAATTTGACGCTGTTTGTGACTATGGTGGCAAAAACGATTACACTTGCAACCCTGGCTTCTAAATGATTTTCAATTTTAAACTAAATGACTTTAAAACTATTCACCCTTTAGGTACATTAAATAAAAGTCATGACTAGTAAAAAAAATTGAAAAAAATACACTAATTGGTAACATTGTGTAATGAATTGTATCTTCTTATCAACCGATTGCTATCGTGTTTACATTAAAAGCAAAATAATAAAAAGTTATTATGGCACCAAAAAGTAAAAAAAATAATCACTAGTATACTTTTGTTAGTTGTTACGAAGCAACCGAGTTTTCATTATTTATTCAATATATATTCATAACATTCAATATTTTTATGTACATGTAAAAAGAATTTAGTACTTTTTAGTTTTTTCTGTTAAGAAAGCTCTGTCTAGTAAGTATTTTTTTTTCTAATGCTTGATATAACGGACAAATGTAACAGTTGATTAGGGGACAGCTGTAACATTAAATTTTTATTAAAATTGTATTAATTTATTTATTGTATCAATTGTATTCAAAATGTAAGAGCGGAGAACCGTGGATCCAATGCCAAAGGTGTAAGTTATGGTCGCACGAAGCTTGTACATCACAAAATTATACAACCTTCTACATATGTGACAATTGTGAGTACAAACTAATTGTAACTAAACCATTTAGATTTTGTTAATTCAAATAGAGAACTTGCATTCTGGTTAGGGTCTGCAAATGTAGATACTATAAAATAATGTTTTAACCATTTTTCTGTTTCTATAAAAAAACACAAGTCAAACAAAATTTTAAATCTAAAAGAGTGGATCACAACTGAAATTATTACTTCTATGGGAAATAGAGAAAAACTGTTTTCTTAGCGCGGGTCTAGGTCTCCTGATTAACAAATGTACACGCCTATTAATAAGAAAACGAAAACAGATATACTACTAAAAAACCACTAAAACAAGCCCAAACTGACAATAAACTGGTTTAAGATCCGAACAAACCGAACAAATATAAAAATAAAACAAATAAGATTACAAATAAAGATGGTATTGTTGCTGAATCTAAAACTGAAATTTGTAATAGATTAAATGATTTTTTAATTAATGTAGGAAACAATTAGAAATAGAGCATATAAATACAGATATATTACAATTTAAAGATGTTAATAATAGCAAAGATAGTATATTTATTAGTACAATTAACAGTGAGAAAATTATTAAGCTTATCGATAAGATTTACAATTATAATTCGTTTCGCCAAAAGTATTTGAAACAAATTACATACTCAATAAAATGTCTAAATCCATTTCTTTATCGTTATCTATTATTTTCAATAGATCTTTATTAATCGACCGTTATCATTTAGCTCTTAAAACATTAATCATAACTCCATTATTTTATTGAGGTAATAATTATCGGCTAATCTCACTTCCATTAACTTTATCAAACATTTTTGAAAAAGGTATCAAAACAGATCACTTTATTTTTTAGGAAAAACATTTTTAATAACTTTTTTTTAAATAAAACACTAACTTACAATTAGTATAAAATATATATATATATTTTTTGGATTTCCCCTTCGTTTAAAACTTGAAACCAACTTTTGATTTTCATATGGCAATGTGTTTTTTTTGTGTGGAGTTGTTGGAGCCCAATGAAGTTTACTTTGTAAATATAGTCTATACCGGTATACACACAAATGTATCTAACATTTTTAGTTATTAAGTACCTAACTGCAATAATTTTGGATCCGTGAAGGTTTATTTTTATTATGCTAAATAAACGTCAATAGGTTATAATGTAACACAGTAAAAATGATAAAATAATAATCTACACAATATGTAGCTATAGTTAAAATTAAAACTGTTTTTACGATCCAGTATAATATAGTTTACAAAAAAATGCCCTGTTGATTAGAAGTTGGCTCGAAAAAATAACTTGATAAATGATAGTGATGATGTATTTAAGTTAGGATTATTGGAGTAACTATTATCAAATAAGGAGAATGTGAATTTATTTTAAAACTCGTAATTCATCATTAAATGTGTTTATCTATTATATGTATTTGTTGTATCGATAAAATTATTGTACATTAAAAAAACTTTAAGTATTATTTTTGAATAATAAATCAATGCTCAAATGCAAAAACGAGTAAATGTACTTAACCATTTAAGACTGTTTTTGCAATTCTACGGGGTTTTTGGACGTTATGCGTTAAGTACATATTTTTATTTAATTTTTGTAATATTTTAAGACACACTACACAGTTATAAACAAGGCTGGGACGACCATAGCTGTAACACCTGTGCTCGAGTAGTTGCCTATCTGTCACGCCGTATTCTGACTATTTTTAAGACACCAAGCTCGCTGTAAATAGTAACCGTGATGATATTAAAGAAACACAAAATTCAAAAAAACTTAATTGTAACAATATTCGTGTAATTAATATTGAGAAATTAATAAACGGACCCTATCCTGTAAGTGACCCATATAAATCATTAGAGTATTTTTACCAAAACGTATTAAACGTTAATTAATACAAAGTTAGTGAAATAATGACAATAATTTAACTATGTAACAAATACATAGTGAATTTTAATAAAACAAAACTGCGTTTTAGGATTTCTTGAATACAATAGTTTATTATACTATGCCAATAGTTAATACATAAATTTCATGAAGAAAGTAAATACACATTGTACCGGTTTTTCATATTGCGAACGGTCGATCACGACTACCATCAAGGTTATGTAGGTGACAATTACCCTCAACATCGATAGAAGCTATAATTATGCGTTTCATAGGCTCGCCCATACTTATTTCCAACGCTTTTAAGTAGCATTTTTCGATTGGGCTGAATTCAATTTGACCTTCTAATAACAAAAAAAAAAAAACAAAAACCTTATTTCACTAAATTATTAGGAAATTTCTGCTTACTAATTTTCATTGTTATTATTTATTTGGTAATCAATTTAGGGGGAATGTGAAAATTAACCTTTATCTATACAACAGCTGTATTATTAATGCAGTAATTATATAAACACCTAAAAATTACACACCAACATAGTGGTTTGGTATAAAATATACTTACGTACCTGTTATTTTTTTTTGTATACGTCTTAAAGACTTCCTAACTATATTCCTTCTAATGTCAGCTAAGTTTGACAAATTATAGGTGGCAAAATCTGCAAATAAAAACAAAAGAAATCGGTGGTGCTAAGACAATATATTGAAATTGCTTTAGACTTATTTATAACTGTTTAAAACATATTTATGTCACCTATGTTTGAGATGTCGGGGTCTTTGATATCTGTTCCAAAAATATATAGCAACAAATTAAAATAAATGATAATAAATTAAATAAAATAAACAATTTTCTTATTGAATAATAGATGTTGGAATACAAATGTTTTACAACACTTTTATTAAAATTGTATTGTGTTTTAACAACATGAGTAGCTTCGTTTGACTTTAGATTTTAAACGATGAAAAATTAAAATGAATGTAGTTAATTGATTGTTAATCAAATCTAGTTTTAAAAGGACCCCTTGGACCCATTCGAATAGGTCTATACTTCCAGTCCACTTAACTATCATGATTATTTGAAGCCTATTCAATATCAGTGGAGATTTAAGTTAGGGGGATCTAGACAAGCCGTTACCAATGTACTGAATATCATCGACTTAATATTTTATTTAGTTGAACAATCTTACGGTAATCCAATCTTATCTTTTCCTGAAGATTTCTCTCGTCTTGTCCACTTCCTAAAATTCAAATCACCCCAACTGTTATATTGTTTACTATATTCATATAATTTGGATAGTCATTCCGCTCAAATTCCTAACTATATCAATACTATAACTCTTAAATATATAAAATTAATTACGGTCCAGAAGTTCAGGATCTGCGTAGTCTGTAATATTAACAATTATATGTAATATATTCAGTAAATATTAATTGTATCTGTAAAATAGTTACATCCATAAAACATAATATCTACAACAATAATTACCTGGTGCAACCAACGTTATGACCAAATAGGCTAAAATAAGAAAAAAATTAAACATTTAACATGTGTCGGCAATCAAACGGAGATTAGGATAAAAATACCAAATACACAATCACAACCGGTAAAAGGAAGTACTTATGGGCATAGAAACGCACCCCCCCCCCTTTTTTTTCCATGATTAAAACCTACCAAGATCCGATAAAATGATGGAGAGAAATACTTATCAATACCGGTAGAAAAGTTGGTGGACCTAATCTTAACTGTTATATGACCAATAATTATTAAGTATGCTAAAGAACGATTGACTGTGTTTGTGAGGAAAGTTTTTAGAAAAATAAGACCTATCCTTTGATGTCCATTTCCAGTTTTAAATACAATAAATAGCTAAGGGTATAGCAAAATGAAGATGGTCGTGGGAGGGGCATACCTGACTTAAACAAGGATTGTTGATAAAAAAAATATAAATGACCTTATTGGAAAAAGACCATTGGGCAGATCACGGCTAAGGTAGACTGTGTGAAGAATGATGCAAATACAGTGTAGAGAAACAGCGGAGAGCTTGGATGAAATATGGTAAAATGTGTTATTAGCGGTATGATCTTAAGGCTATCTCATTTTATTATCAACTTATCTCATTTATTGACTAAGCGCTTTGAACGAGAGCTTAGGATAGGGAAGGATATTGAAAATCAAAATACAAGTATTTAAGTACCAATTTCCGGATTTGACATAACTAAATCTTCGATGGTTGTATCCAGGGGATTATCTGTAAAAAGACTTAAATATGTTACAATGCAATATTATAAAATTACCCTATATTACCTTTTTGTTTTATTTTGAAGAGCCCTATCAATTTTGGGTACTTAAGAGGATTGGAAAACGCTATTTATTTAGGGGCAAAGGTCATGCAATATTTGATAAAAATTTAACTGGCAACCATTTTAACCCTTCAATGCATACTGTTGCAAATGTGCTTTCCGTTACCCTTAAAAATAGGGGGGATAAATGTTTAAATGTTTTAAAAAATAAATAGTTGGCTGCAAATTTCGATTGCATCTCAATATTAGGTTTTTTTAGATGTTAAATTTTAATGTTTGTCCGCACAGATTAATCAACTACATTCTACCTCCCATCTTAAATTTTACTAAATTCTAATAACATTAATGCTAAACATTCAAAACTGATCATCGACCAATCAACATTGTCAGAAAAATGTTCTCGATTTAAAAACGTATTTACGATCCCGTTGTATGTTTCAAAAGTTGATAGCACTTTGAAAAATAAAAATAAAATAAATAATACTAAAAAAAAATATTATATTAATTCACCCTTTAAGACGTTAGGATAAATGGGCCGTGGGTTTAATTAGTACGAGATGCGATTAATCATTAATTGTATGTAAGCAACTTGTTTTATTAATTTTTTTTTTTAAAATAGCAGTAATGTAAAAAAGCTATCGGTATATTTTCTTACATTAATTTAGAGTACATTTCAAAATGACTGTTGACTGGTCATGACTATCACGACTGCCGCAATGTAAATAAATGACTAACACCAGTTGGCATCGTGAAGTTTTAAGTTTTAAAATTAAAAGAAGTCATGCTATTTTGCAAAAATAATATTAACAATTTTACAATATATTTTTTACCGTTTTAATTGCTATAGACAAGGTGCGTACGTGGAAAATATGCAATTAATAACACCATATTATATTATAGTTTGTTTTAAACGGAAAACAATTTAATTTTTTGAACGTATTCGGTTTTGTTGTACATGTTTTTTAATATGTTTCAGCTATTTTTTTATTTTAAAGTAATACCCTATTTATGCACAAAGTATAAATGTAAACATGTGACTTTTAATAGAAACTTATTATAATATAAATCATATGTTTACCAATCGTCTCGGTTGAACATACTAAACTGTTGCGTAATGTTGACACAAGACCTAAAAAAACACATATTTACAGATTTATATACAAATATTTCCTATCATTGAATTGCGATTTTATGTGGGGCGAAATATCAGAATAATTATATCCTAAACAAAATGGAGTTATTCAAACCTCGAAAATGTCATTATTATTAGTTATATTTGTTTGATTGCGAAGAAAATAGCAAGATATATTTATAGGCTAATCTCTCTCGCCCTTCTATGCTCCACTATATTATGCCATAACATCAACTCGAGCAAATTAAATAGTTTTGTAAAATTAAGATATAATATTCAGAGAACCGTAAAAATTTTGTCGGTTTATTAGATATTCAAAATATTTTACTTTTTTTTTGTTCTATTGCACCGAGAAAGAAGTCTGTAATTAAATTAAAAAAAAAACATGTAAACAATTTAAATTGTATTTAACAATGCCTATATTTTATGGATAAACTATTGAGTACTGACTTGTGATGTATAGTTCCTTCTTAAATTCCGCTGTAAAAAAAAAAAAAAAGGTTAAATATTTTATAATTAGATAATAGTTGTTGTAAGTATTGGTTTCAGTATTGGCTTCATAAAATAATTCAAATAACTATTTGCCCACATTCGTTCAAAGATAAGTTGAAAATTAAAATTATTCTATAACATGTTTAATTATTATTTATAATGATAACCAAATTTGTTGTAAACCTAAGTTGGCCAACAAAATGTGATAGTTACTTTCAGTAATTGCCAAAACATTTCCAAACACGAATGATATTAAAATGCATAAATGTTTCATTTTTGTCTGAAAAATAAAAGACAAAATCAATTCATATTGAATACAGTTGACAAACAACATACATTCAGTTTTTTTTTTATAATAAATAAGTATCTTGTCGTTATATAATAGAGTACAATTGAAAACTCTAAAACTAGTAATTATGATAAATAATAAGCTGGCTTATAGGTTTAATTAAAAATAAAATACCGAGTAGTTAGTAATTTTTTAAAACTATGGATTACAGTTATAGTAATAATATCTCATTAAGTATTAAATATCTTACATGCTTATAAACTTATTAAAAAAAGTTTGTGCGTTTGCGAACAAAACCAATTCACTTAGCTTGTTAAATGAGTTTTAATTTTTCGGCTGTGGTTGTATTTTGGTCTTGTAGATGAACTTGCAAATCGGTCGTTACCTAAACACTAAATATATTTTTTTTTGCAAGTTGGCTCGTGCAACTGTCGGCACGAGTGTTTAACGATATCTTTTTAGCGTTCTAGCAATTGTGTCAATAATTCAAACCTTATAAATAATATATTTGCGTCGTACATAGAAAACGTTTTTCTATGATAGTGAAAATATTTTAGTAGAACCGAATGCACATCGACGCAATAATATTTCATAAAATAGGCTTTTGATTCTCTCACACAAAGCAACCTAGACATTTCTTAATGTAAAAAAAAAAAAAATAGTTTCACAACGTTATTTTGTAGTACTATGTCTAAAGAAAATCCCATATGAATTTGGGACTAATGTCTAATTAGTCTATTTAATTTTTGGCCTAATAAAGTACCTTTTAGATACGATTTGTGGTCTATAGACTTGCTTGGAAGTAGGCTAACCAATTTAGTGACATCATTATTGTATTTTGATAAGTAGTACTTTTCACGTGATCAAGTTTACAACCAGATTGATCAGAAAGTTCAGAAAAGGCTATATTAAAATAAATAAATTAAAGAAATGGAAGCAAACAGGTGTAATTCAAAGGAAGAAAATAAGAGAAAAGTATTTAGTGAATGTAACAAATGATAAAAATTGAGAAACATAGCTAAAGCTTGTCCCCTTTTGTAATAAAATAATAAATTTTCATTTTTAAATGTATAACATAATGATTTTAATGACTGTCTCCATGCTATATTAACGGAAGCGATTAATTATTTAATACATTTTAAGATCGTTAGTCATCTTAAGAATTTCTTAAATCTGATTTTATAAAAAATTATTCAATATTGTGTACATTTTACGACTACTTTTTATTGTTGGTTTTATAATAATTCTTAGTCTTTTGCATCGTTAAAACCAAATTAAACAACAATTATTAATAATTAATTTAAAGAAAAACACCTGAACACGCGTAGAGAAAATAACATTGTGGTTATTTATAGTAATTTACGCCAAACGGCTTTTTATAAATTAGACAATAATATATATATATATATATATATGTAGTGATATTTAAAATACACAAATCAACTAAAAGAAAACGAAACAAAGCAAAACAAGAGAGCAGTGGTTCTTGCACCGCTGCTCTAGTGGTTGCAGTCCAAGAACATTATTAACGGGACTGTAATCATGAGGTGGGTGTAAGATTTTTAAGCGGTACCCAACAAAACTTAAAAACCTATTCTGCACACGGTTCATTCTCTGTCTGTCACCTGCAGTATATGGCGCCCAAATGACTGCGCCGTACTCTAGGTTAGACCGAACTAGGGAATTATATAGGGCAGACAGACATTCGCTAGAATTGAAATCAGGCGAATGTCTCCTAATAAACCCAAGAGCTCGTAACGTTCTACTGATAGCGAAATCAATATGGGGCCGAAAGTCTAGGGTAGGGACACACAAAAATCCGAGATACTTTACTTGGTAAACTCGCTCGAGAGGCATCGCATTTAGACTATAGTTAAATGTCAACATCGCACGCGTACGACAATAGGACATGACTTTACACTTATTAGTATTCAGTGATAGACCTAACAAATTACACCAGATTGAAAATTTATCCAAAACGGCTTGTAGTACAAGGCAGTCTTCCTGCGATGAAATTGCATAAAAAATTTTGGCGTCATCAGCAAAAAGTAGAGCACGGCATGGGGAAACAAAGGAATACACGGTGTTTATGAAGATATTAAACAGGATGGGACCAAGATGACTACCATGAGGAACTCCGAACAGCGCTTGAAAATAATCTGATGCATTTCCAAAAAGATTTGCGAACAGTCTGCGCTCCATAAGGTTATAACTGGGTTGTAATAAATTACAAGTTGAAAATTTTCTCGAAACATAAATTTCAAGTATTGTCACTAGATGTTTTTTTCCTTAAAATATTGCCTTTATTATATTATAATTAAACGTATATGAAAGTTTCATAAACCAACTTGTGCAAACCATAATATTGTACATAATGAATGTGTATTAAAATGATCAAACTACAGTAGCTATTTTATAATCTTGTAAAACAATTGAATTTAATTTATATAAAGATTAAAACTGATTTTTGAAATAATTTAGGAAAATCCACTGTATGAAGCTTTTAAACAATTAATTATAAATTCATTAACGATGTCAAACAATTTGCCAAACCGAATATGTACTTAATATGTAAATAAAAATAAATATCTAAAATTGATTTATAATTGACTGGACGTATTTAATTCCTATTCCCTCAATAGCGAGGCGGCAAACAAATATGTTAACCTAACTATGTTGCGCACATAACAAACGACCCCCATTTTGATTCTTAGAAATCAAGTTTTTTTTTTAATTTTACAGCAATACGTATTATACTCATGTATAATTTACAGCTGAAGCTAAAGCTAAAAATAAAGCTGAAGGTGGTGGAAGAGCTGGAAGTGGAATTAGGGCTAAATCTAGAGCTGGATTTGGAGATGATGATGGAGGTTAAGCTGGAGCTTAAGTCGGAGCCCAAGCTGAATCCAAAGGTGGAAATGGAGTTGTAGCTTCAGGAGGTAAAGCTAAAAGCGGAAGTTTCAGCTGGAGTTAGAGCTGGAGCTAAAGCTAGAGCTAGAGCTAGAGCTAGAGCTAGAGCTAGAGATAGAGCTAGAGCTAGAGCTAGAGCTAAAGCTAGAGCTAAAGCTAGAGCTAAAGCTAGAGCTAAAGCTAGAGCTAAAGCTAGAGCTAAAGCTAGAGCTAAAGCTAGAGCTAAAGCTAGAGCTAAAGCTAGAGCTAAAGCTAGCGCTAAAGCTAGAGCTAAAGTTAGAGCTAAAGCTAGAGCTAGAGCTAGAGCTAGAGCTAGAGCTAAAGCTAGAGCTAGAGTTAAAGCTAGAGCTAAAGCTAGAGCTAGACCTAGAGCTAGACTTAGAGCTAAAGCTAGGGCTACAGCTAGAGCTAGAGATTGATTTGAAGATGAAAATGGAGCTGGCTCTGAAGCTGGATCTGGAGTTGTAGCTTCAGGAGGTGAAGCTGAAAAGGAAAGATTCAGCTGGAGTTAGAGCTTGAGCAAAAGCCAGAGCTAGAGCTAGAGCTAGAGCTAGAGCTAGAGCTAGAGGTAGAGCTTAAGCTAAAGCTACAGCTAGAGCTAGAGATGGATTTGAAGATGAAGATGGAGCTGGATCTGAAGCTGGATCTGGAGTTGTAGCTTTAGGAGGTAAAGCTGAAAAGGAAACTTTCAGCTGGAGTTAGAGCTGGAGCTAGAGCTAGAGCTAGAGCTAGAGCTAGAGCTAAAGCTAGAGCTAGAGCTAGAGCTAGAGCTAGGGCTAGAGCTAGAGCTAGAGCTAGAGCTAGAGCTAGAGCTAAAGCTAGAGCTACAGCTAGAGCTAGAGATGGATTTGAAGATGAAGATGGAGCTGGATCTGAAGCTGGATCTGGAGTTGTAGCTTCAGGAGGTAAAGCTGAAAAGGAAAGTTTCAGCTGGAGTTAGAGCTGGAGCTAAAGCTAGAGCTAAAGCTAGAGCTAGAGCTAGAGCTAGAGCTAGAGCTAGAGCTAGAGCTAAAGCTAGAGCTAGAGCTAGAGCTAGAGCTAGAGCTAGAGCTAAAGCTAGAGCTACAGCTAGAGCTAGAGATGGATTTGAAGATGAAGATGGAGCTGGATCTGAAGCTGGATCTGGAGTTGTAGCTTCAGGAGGTAAAGCTGAAAAGGAAAGTTTCAGCTAAAGCTAGAGCTAGAGCTAGAGCCAGAGCTAGAGCTAGAGTTAAAGATAGAGCTAGAGCTAGAGCTAGAGCTAAAGCTAGAGCTAGAGCTAGAGCTAGAGCTAGAGCTAGAGCTAAAGATAGAGCTAAAGAAAGAGCTAGAGCTAGAGCTAAAGCTAGAGCTAAAGCTAGAGCTAAAGCTAGAGCTAAAGCTGGAGCTAAAGCTAGAGCTAAAGCTAGAGCTAAAGCTAGAGCTAAAGCTAGAGCTAGAGCTAGAGCTAGACTTAGAGCTAAAGCTAGGGCTACAGCTAGAGCTAGAGGTGGAGTTGAAGATGTAGATGGAGCTGGATCTGAAGCTGGATCTGGAGTTGTAGCTTCAAGAGGTAAAGCTGAAAAGGAAAGTTTTAGCTGGAGTTAGAGCTAGAGCTCAAGCTAGAGCTAAAGCTAGAGCTAGACCTAGAGCTAGAGCTACAGCTAGAGCTAGAGCTACAGCTAGAGCTAGAGATGGATTTGAAGATGAAGATGGAGCTGGATCTGAAGCTGGATCTGGAGTTGTAGCTTCAGGAGGTAAAGCTGAAAAGGAAAGTTTCAGCTAAAGCTAGAGCTAGAGCTAGAGCTAGAGCTAGAGCTAAAGCTAGAGCTAAAGCTAGAGCTACAGCTAGAGCTAGAGATGGATTTGAAGATGAAGATGGAGCTGGATCTGAAGCTGGATCTGGAGTAGTACCTTCAGGAGGTAAAGCTGAAAAGGAAAGTTTCAGCTAAAGCTAGAGCTAGAGCTAGAGCTAGAGCTAGAGCTAGAGCTAGACCTAGTGCTAGACTTAGAGCTAAAGCTAGGGCTACAGCTAGAGCTAGAGATAGAGTTGAAGATAAAGATGGAGCTGGGTCTGAAGCTGGATCTGGAGTTGTACCTTCAGGAGGTAAAGCTGAAAAGGAAGGTTTCAGCTGGAGTTAGAGCTAGAGTTAGAGCTAGAGTTAGAGCTAGAGCTAGAGTTAGAGCTCAAGCTAGCACTAAAGCTAGAGCTAAAGCTAGAGCTAGAGCTAAAGCTAGAGTAAGAGCTAGAGCTAAAGCTTGAGCAAGAGCTAGAGCTGGAGCTAGAGCTAGAGCTAAAGCTAGAGCAAAAGCTAGAGCTAGAGCTCAAACTAGAGCTAAAGCTAGAGCTAGACCTAGAGCTAGACTTAGAGCTAAAGCTAAGGCTACAGCTAGAGCTAGAGATGGATTTGAAGATGAAGATGGAGCTGGCTCTGAAGCTGGATCTGGAGTTGTACCTTCAGGAGGTAAAGCTGAAAAGGAAAGTTTCAGCTAAAGCTAGAGCTAGAGCTAGAAATAGAGCTAGAGCTAGAGCTAGAGCTAAAGCTAGAGCTAACGCTAGAGCTAGAGCAAAAGCTAAAGCTAGAGCTAAAGCTAAAGCTAGAGCAAGAGCTAGATCTAGAGCTAGAGCTAGATCTAGAGCTAGAGCTAGAGCTAGAGCTAGAACTAAAGCTAGAGCTAGAGCTAGAGCTAGACTTAGAGCTAAAGCTAGGGCAACAGCTAGAGCTAGAGGTGGAGTTGAAGATGAAGATGGAGCTGGATCTGAAGCTGGATCTGGAGTTGTAGCTTCAGGAGGTAAAGCTGAAAAGGAAAGTTTCAGCTAAAGCTAGAGCTAGAGCTAGAGCTAGAGCTAGAGCTAAAGCTTGAGCTAAAGCTAGAGCTAAAGCTAGGGCTACAGCTAGAGCTAGAGATGGAGTTGAAGATGAAGATGGAGCTGGATCTGAAGCTGGATCTGGAGTTGTAGCTTCAGGAGGTAAAGCTGAAAAGGAAAGTTTCAGCTAAAGCTAGAGCTAGAGCTGGAGCCAGAGCTAGAGCTAGAGCTATAGCTAAAGATAGAGCTAGAGGTAGAGCTAGAGCTAGAGCTAGAGCTTGACCTAGGGCTAGACTTAGAGCTAAAGCTGGGGCTACAGCTAGAGCTAGAGATGGAGTTGAAGATGAAGATGGAGCTGGATCTGAAGCTGGGTCTGGAGTTTTAGCTTCAGGAGGTAAAGCTGAAAAGGAAAGTTTTAGCTGGAGTTAGAGCTTAAGCTAGAGCTAGACTTAGAGCTAAAGCTAGAGCTAGAGCTAGACCTAGGGCTAGAGCTAGAGCTAGAGCTAGAGCTAAAGCTAGAGCTAGAGCTAGAGCTAGAGCTAGAGCTGAAGCTAGAGCTAGAGCTAGAGCTAAAGCTAGAGCTACAGCTAGAGCTAGAGATGAATTTGAAGATGAAGATGGAGCTGGATCTGAAGCTGGATCTGGAGTTGTAGCTTCAGGAGGTAAAGCTGAAAAGGAAAGTTTCAGCTAAAGCTAGAGCTAGAGCTAGAGCCAGAGCTAGAGCTAGAGCTAAAGATAGAGCTAGAGCTAGAGCTAGAGCTAAAGCTAAAGCTAGAGCTAGAGCTAGAGCTAGAGCTAGAGCTAGAGCTAGAGCTAGAGCAAAAGCTAGAGCTAGAGCTAGAGCTAGAGCTAGAGCTAGAGTAAAAGCTAGAGCTCAAGCTAGAGCTAAAGCTAAAGCTAGAGCTAGAGCTAGAGCTAGGGCTACAGCTAGAGCTAGAGATGGAGTTGAAGATGAAGATGGAGCTGGATCTGAAGCTGGATCTGGAGTTGTAGCTTCAGGAGGTAAAGCTGAAAAGGAAAGTTTTAGCTGGAGTTAGAGCTAGCGCTAGAGCTTGAGCTAGAGCTAGAGTTAGAGCTAGAGCTAGAGCTAAAGCTAGAGCTAATGCTAGAGCTAGAGCTAGAGCTAGAGCTAGAGCTGGAGCCAGAGCTAGTGCTAGAGCTAGAGCTAAAGATAGAGCTAGAGCTAGAGGTAGAGCTAAAGCTAGAGCTAGAGCTAGACCTAGGGCTAGACTTAGAGCTAAAGCTATGGCTACAGCTAGAGCTAGAGATGGAGTTGAAGATGAAGATGGAGCTGGATCTGAAGCTGGATCTGGAGTTGTAGCTTCTGGAGGTAAAGCTGAAAAGGAAAGTTTTAGCTGGAGTTAGAGCTGGAGCTATAGAGTGAGTTAGAGCTGGAGCTAAAGCTGGAGCTAAAGCTAAAGCAAAAGCCAGAGCTAGAGCTAGAGCTAGAGCTAGAGCTAGAGCTAGAGTTAAAGCTAGAGCTAGAGCTAGAGTTAGAGCTAGAGCTAAAGCTAGATTAAGAGCTAGAGCTGGAGCTAGAGCTAGAGCTAAAGCTAGAGCAAAAGCTAGAGCTAGAGCTAGAGCTAGAGCTAGAGCTAGAGCTAGAGTTAAAGCTAGAGCTAGACCTAGAGCTAGACTTAGAGCTAAAGCTAGGGCTACAGCTAGAGCTAGAGATGGAGTTGAAGATGAAGATGGAGCTGGATCTGAAGCTGGATCTGGAGTTGTAGCTTCAGGAGGTAAAGCTGAAAAGGAAAGTTTCAGCTGGAGTTAGAGCTGGAGCTAAAGCTGGAGTTAGAGCTGGAGCTAAAGCTGGAGCTAAAGCTGGAGCTAAAGCTAGAGCTAAAGCTAGAGCCAAAGCTAAAGCAAAAGCCAGAGCTAGAGCTAGAGCTAGAGCTAGAGCTAGAGCTAGAGCTAGAGCTAAAGCTAGAGCTAAAGCTAGAGCTAGACCTAGGGCTAGACCTAGAGCTAGACTTAGAGCTAAAGCTAGAGCTAGAGATGGAGTTGAAGATGAAGATGGAGCTGGAGCTAAAGCTGGAGCTAAAGCTGGAGCTAAAGCTAGAGCTAAAGCTAGAGCTAAAGCTAAAGCAAAAGCCAGAGCTAGAGCTAGAGCTAGAGCTACAGCTAGAGCTAGAGCTAGAGCTAGAGCTAGAGCTAATGCTAGAGCAAGAGCTAGAGCTAAAGCTAGAGCTAATGCTAGAGCAAGAGTTAGAGCTAGAGCTAGAGCTAGAGCTAGAGCTAGAGCTAAAGCTAGAGCTAAAGCTAGAGCTAAAGCTAGAGCTAGACCTAGGGCTAGACCTAGAGCTAGACTTAGAGCTAAAGCTAGAGCTAGAGATGGAGTTGAAGATGAAGATGGAGCTGGATCTGAAGCTGGATCTGGAGCTGAATATGGTGATGGAGATGGAGGGTGTTAGAAACACAATTATTCATTGTTCAATTGTTCGAGTTATCCGGTTTTGACATAGATATTTCTTATGGCCGGGAGTCAGACAAAATTTGAGCGACCAAAAAGTCTAACATGATAAAAGTTAGAGATAATAGGTTATAGATAAGAGATAAGAGTGATTCTTAGTGATAGGACATATCCATAGATATGTTTTCCATTAGGGAAAAATAATATTTTTATACATTTATTTATGCCCGTAAGTTAAATTAACTGTTGATTTATTTTTTATGAAATTTTATGGCTTAAAAATAATCAAGGTAGTTTTATACCATTTAAAATCTTTTGTTTTGTATAAATATTTGATTACATTTTACTTTTTACTTGTCTTTTTAGTGTACAAGTATTTTAATTAAACTTTAATACTTTGATAACACATTTAAATAATGTCATTTTATTAGTAAAAGTAGTATGTAGGATTATTATTTAAAAATGTACCCTACCACCTCTTTTTTTTGTAGTCTGTCTTTAGGTGTGAAAAAATCAAACGGCATCTCGTCGTGGCGTCGATCAGTTAGTCTATTTATATTTTCAATTCGCCTTTAACAGGTGGAAAATGAGTAAACCGTTATAGTACTGTCTCCTAGTTTTGCACATTGCGGCACAATGGTATTTCTTGTAGCATTATTTAAGACGAGATGGTAATCTATGATGAGGGTACCTCTCTTGCCACCGGGAATCCCACATAAAACCAGTCACCGCATTTGTGATAGCCTGACTACAGATCTAAAAAATGGTCTGTCTAGTTTTCAATAGTCACAAAACTATGATCAAAAAAAGTAATTGGGGTTTTTAACGTTATGTGTTACGTAAGTACACATTATTTTATATTTGTAGTATTTTATTTTTACTAAGCTACAAACAAGGCTGGGATTACCACAGGTGTAACACCTAAGCCAGAGTAGCTGCCTATCTATTACGCTAATTTATTACGCCATGTTCTGAATATTATCCATTTTTTAAGGAGCTCTACTCGCTGTAAATCATTATGGCGATTAGTACAAAAAAATATACTAGGAATAATAGAATTGTACATTGATTATAACAAATGTGGTTGGTACATTCACCTGATTTAAACAATTTAGAGATTCTAGAAAATAAAGAATGGCAAACAATATATTTTCATATTTAGAAAATAATAAATGAGATAAAAAACAAGTAACCTGTCCTGTAGATGTCAGGTATTCGTAATTATAATAGTATTTCATAACTGAGATAGCTATACTTAATAGACGTTACCATTAAAGTATAATAACATAATAGAAATTTAGTTGAAAAACATTAATAGCGATAATAAGTATATATTTTTTGCTTATGTAGGTATTTTACTGGATTGTGTTAGCAGTACTAGACAAAAAAAACATTTATGAATTGCCGCAAGTTTGGCATTTCAATAGTACAATATTATAGTAATACATAAAAAGCATTGTGTTTGTAACATGAAAAACTACTATAACGCGATTGACTTGTCAGCAAAATATTAAAAACACATTGCGGATGGCAATAAAATAACATTGTTTTTTCTAATTTATTAAATATAACAGTTATTATATTGATTTTACATTTTATTAACAATAATATATTTAATTATTCGTTTACATACATTATTTATTACAAGAATTTCAATAGTAAAAGTAAGTGGATGTACTCTTCGGATATACCTACATGATCTCTTTTTTCATACTTCGAACAATGAATTACCACCATAAGAGTCAGTTAGGTTACAATAACCCTTGTTGTCGATATAAGCTTTGGTTATGCGATTACGTGGCTTATTCAAACTTATCATCAACGCTATTATATAGCATTTCTGGCATTCATTGAAGTTTTCACCATCATTTTGACCTTCAAACAATAAAAACATTTATTTGGAAAAACATATTTTTTTCCTATAAATTAATTTACGAGAAGCTGTGAATATTTAACGTTGATAACATTATAATATTTGTATAATAACTATAATGCAGTAGTTATATAAATACCTATAAATCATACACCAATATTGGAGTTTCCTATCAAACATAATTATACGTACCTATTACTTTCTTGTGTAAACGTTTCAAAGACAGCTTCACTATGTTTCTTCTAGTTTTAGCCAAATCTGATAATTCAATGCTATCAAAATCTGCAATTTAAAACAAAAGAAAAAGGTGTTGCTTTAAATACATTAATAAATAAGCTTAGTTTTATTTTTCGTCTGACGTTTGATGCGATGTTGAGTAGATATAATTTACAATGAGTATTTTCTCGTTAACTTTTTTAACCTCTGAACCGATTTGTTCATACATTTCCACTATGGGTCACAAACCTTGAGCAGGAGCATTATATGATCAAAATAACTGCACTATTCTACTTGATAATCGGAGAAAAACACCCATAAATAAACCCTATAATAACACCCTGTTTAAAATATTTGAACACGTTACTTTTGCCCGAGGTATTGGGAAATCCCAGTTCGATACCTGTTGCGAAAATAAAAATACCGAAATATTAATATATTAAACCATACATTATTTTTGCAGCGCAAGTTTATGCATTTTACTATTTTATCTATAGCTGCGATGGCTAATCATGTTGAAAAAAAATGTTTTAGAAAACATATTTCCCAAAGTTGTGTAATTTCCTAGCGAACCTAATTTGACTTTAGATCATGTATTACACTTTAAACGATAAAAAATGATTGAGCATATCAAATCTAATAGTAAGAAAACACATACAGGTTTTATAGTTTATTTAGTGCCAAAATTTACCGTGGTTCCATCTTAGTAAATTTTGTATTCGTTTCTCGTAATTTACACTTTCTGAAATTTAAAACACAGTTTACTATATTATATAATTCACTATATTTATATCAGTGGGTGGTCAACATTTAAGGTCTACTTTACTATCAACGATAAATATTTGTTATAACAACTTGTATAATTATAAAAAAATATATATATAATTAATTACGGTCCAAATGGTCAAGGTCTGGGTAGTCTGAAATGTGAACAATTATATGTAATATTCAGTCAATATCAACCGTATCTGTTGTGTTACACAATAAAGAATAATTTCCACATGCTAAATAATTACCTGGAGCAGCCAACGCTATAACCAAATCCTCTAAAATGAATAAAATTAAACACATTAAACAAGATTCGATAATATTATTAAGAGTTATTCATTGGCAAAAGAAGATATGATTCCCAAAAATGGCGGTACTTGTGCGAGATCTCAGAAAAATGTACAACCATAGATTTTGATATCCAGTTCTAGTCTCTAAAGACAGTCGTCACTATACTATTTAGCTAAAGTGATATAAAAAGAAGATTGGCGTGGGAGTGGCATACCTGACGTAAACTAATGCTGTTGATAAAAGAAATGAGATGCAAAGACAGTAAAGGAGATAGCATAGACTGGGATAATTGGCGAAAGTCTTAAAGACAAAATCCAAAAAAAAAATAAATTTAGGCAGAGATAAAAAAAATTATAATTTTATAAATTAAATAAATACAAAATAAGTATGTATGTACCAAATGACGTAGCTGACAGTATTAACCCTTCGACGAAACCGTGCACATAATCTAGAAAAACACTTCTTTATGAATCTATATAATACATAAAGTGAGAATTTTTTGGGTACACGTTTAACAAATTCTGAGCTGTATATATATTAGTTTACAATTAAAAGCAACAATTCTTTTGACATTCAAAGTTCACTTCCTACTGTTTAATTTTTGAAATGCCATATTTAAACCTAAAGTAGATTTTTGTTGTACAGTTACTAGCTACATTGATCAGAAAAAAAAGACAGTTGTTGTTCGCATACGTTACTACTAGTAGGTCAATATACTGCTTCGAGGTAAACAATAATAATTCTTATTATTTATATAACTAGAAAACCATTTGAGCCTTTCTCCATCGGTTCCCTAATTTGGCAAAATATAAATTGATTCTATTTGTTCAACAGCGTCAAAAGCTTATTATTAATTCTAAAAATATTGCAAATTCATTTTTAATAGAAACTATACAAGTCTTAGCTGAACTATCTTTTCCGGAACTAATAAGAAATAGCATAGCATAGGTATTCTCCTATATCATATTCTGAATTTCTTATTTGAAATTTTATTGACTGGTATCAATGTAGCGTTATTTTATTTTTAATAAGAAATTTATAATAACATAAATGTATGGTTACTTGTCGACTCAGTTGAACACAAGTAATTTTTGACTAATGAGCACATGAGATCTAGAAAAATACATATTAATAAATATATATATATATATATATATATATATATTATACTAATTTACATAATTATTTAGTTAGGTAAATTTAGTTTTTATCTGCTAATGAACGACATGAATGCAGAGAGAACCGTACGCACAAGACTAGTAAAAGTGACTTAAGACGTAGGCCTTTGTATTAATAAAGAAAAAACAGAGTACAGTCAGTATACAAGAGGAATAAAGACAAGCTGAACACACATTAAAGGTGGGATCCTATAAATTCGAGAAAATGACTAAAATGGAAATTGAGATACTAAAAAGAATGCTAATGGAGAATAAGTGCTATATGCCCTGGACAATCAATTTCGGCTGAGACTAGTATCGAAGAAAATAACAATTCCAACTATACATCACGCTGATAATAATCTTTAGTAATGTACGGCCAAGGTCGAGGGTTTTCGAAAGGAAGATACTAAGGAGGATAATATATGGATCATACGTCGATCTCTATAAACGGCAAAAGAGACACGAGGATGAAAACTTAGGGACCTCTATGATAAACGGGACATAGTGAATGAGATTAAAAGAAAAATACTGCAATAGGCCGGTCACGTGCGGAGGCCAACCAGAAGCTTTGGCGAAGATAGTTTCACGAGAGGATCCGAGAGGGAAAACACCTTTAGGAAGACCGCGACTGCGGCCAGTGGGTTGATTTTCAACCGGTTGTATACGATTGGCATACACTGACGGAGACAGTTGTGTTTGGTCTAAAAGGCCGTGTGCAAAAAAAATCAACAAAAAAAAAAAAAATCTATTTTTAATAGGTTTAACAGGCCGTGCGGAGGGGTTGGCTAGACGAAGTGACGCAATATTCACCGTTCGCACGTGTGAGTTTTCAGTAGCCGAGGACGGTGCGCAGCGGGTGGTGGGGAGGTGGCAATGCATATGTGTGTATTATAGTGCCCTGGTACCCACATACGCATCACACTAAAAAAAAAAATCTTCATCTTTATGTGTGAGACGCGAAGACGTAACACAAATTTCGGAATGACCCACCCCCCCCCCTTCAGGAAACACTTATCTCTCCGGCCCCACTATGCTCCATCACTGACCACCGACTACTATTTCATTAGCTTTTTAAATTCAGAATAACGCACTGGAAATGTTGACTGGTCGATGATCAGTTTTCAACAACTATTTTCAAAGTTATGACACTCCTAACCTTCACACCTGCCCTAAACTTTAAACTTCAATAACGTTGTAATAATAACCGTAAAAAATTCGCTATTTTTAAGTGTATTAGATAATTTAAATATTTTACTTTTTTTTTGTTGTACTACGTTAAAATAGTTGTCTGTAAATTTGATAAAAAAAAAAAAAAATTAAAAAAACGGGAACTTGTACTTTTACAACTTTTAAGTATGTTTTATTAAAAAAAAATACTGACTTGTAATGTATAATTCCATTTTGTAATCCGCTGTAAAAAAAAAAAAAAAAAGGTAAATATTAATATTTAAATATTTAGATTGATAAGTACTGGTTAGCTCAATAATAAGCTGAAAATGTAAATGTTATCCTATAACAAAGTTTTGTTATTATTCATTACAATCATAATAATAAACGAATACTTTTTAAAGAACGTGAGACTACACATTCTGTAAACCAAAGTATGCCAACAAAATGTGATAGTTACTTAGAGTTACAGCTGAAACGTTTACAAACGCAAACGATATTAAAACACATACAAGTTTCATTTTTATCTGAAAAATAAAGACAAAAACAACAATTACATACAGTTGACAAACGACAAAACAGTAATAATTATGATAAATAATAAGCTGCCTTATGGGTTTATTAAAATTTTTTTTAAATACTAGTTAATAACTTTCGAAATGTTATAGATGAATTGCAGTTGTTAATAAATCAGTACAATAAAACGGTACCTAGTGTCTCAGAGGTTTTTAAACTTATTCAAAGTTATTAACTTTGGCGGTGGAAAGCAATTCGCTTAACTTGTTCCAACTTCGGTTGTGATTGTAGTTTGAACTTGAAAATGTGTATAATAATCAAACGTTCTCTAAAAACTTAATATTATATTTCACAACTAGGCGCTTGCAATTGATGACATGTTTGTTTATTGATGTCTTTATTATGTCCTAACAATTGTATCAATAAAAGAAATCTTATATTCATTTGCGTCATACACTATAGAATGAGTTTAACTATGATATTAATTCTAAACATTTTTTTAAAAATAATACATATTTTATGTTTGACTTAAATTATTGTCAGGCGATCGACATATTATTTTGTGCTCGGGTCCATTTAAAATATTTTACTAGAACTGAACACACATAAAAATAATAATATCATTTAAATGGATTTTAATAAAAATTACTTAAATTTAAAATACCGTATATTGTTTAAAACACTATCATTTATAAATCATAGAAGAAAACTGTTTCAATATGTTATAATGAAATGAAACTTTTTTTGGAAATAATTATATATTCGTTGCACACAACAATTTTGGAAATAAAATTATAGAAAATTTTGTATAGTGTTTTTTGGCATGTTTACATGGGTTACGGTTACGACGCAAAAACCGCACTCAACTTGCCTAAATAAAATTTAATGAAAATATGCTGTAAAATCAACCAATGTAAATATCCCGGGTTCTTTAAGACTTAGGTACGATAAATAAAAAAAAAAATTTTCAGCTGAGTCTGCAACCACGAAAGAGCATTTTCATGTCTCGTTGAAGCACCAAATAAATTTAGAGTAGTGGTGGAACTATAAATAATGATATAGTATATTAAGAAGCAGTAACAAGCTAGTATATTAAAACATCAAGTTTCTGGCTTATATTGTAGTGTTTAATATTTGGCTTAAAACAATTCACAGAGAATTTGCGCCCTTAAACTGTTTTGAATTTATTATTTAGTTCTAATTTGAACGTGAACGTACAACATATCTCTTATCTCTTACCTCCTATATCTTACCCCTATCCCCTACCTACTATCTCCCATCCCCTATCTCCTACCCCTATCTCCTTCCCTTATCACTCACATCCCCCTAGCCCCCAACCACTATCGCCCACCTCCTATCTCTCACCTCTATCTTGTTACCTGTTATCTCTTATCAGATAACAGCGTAACGCTTTTTTTGGTAACACTTTTTTTGGTTATGTGCCAAAACTAATTCCCACCCCCAACCCCATTTCTTTATCGTTACGCTTTTTTGGTAACGCTTTTGATATTTTCATGTCTTAGTTCTGGCACATAACCGAAAAAAGCGTTACTAAAAAAGCGTTACCACACGGAGATGGGGTTGGGTACGGGAGATAGGGGTGAGAATTAGCCGGTACATAACCGAAAAAAAGTGTTACCAAAAAAAGCGTTACGCTACGCACCGCAAGGTACCAAAAATCATTCGTTATGTTAACTACGAAGCGACGACGAAAGACAATTATCGGAAAGGCCACTTCGGATCCATTTCGAATGTTAATTTGTTACGCTGTTATCTGATATGAGATAAGAGATATATTGTACATTCAACGTTCAAATTAGAACTAAATAATAAATTCAAAATAGTTTAATTTACTATGTTGAGTTACTTTTGGCCTGATAATAAACACTACAATTTTAGCCAGAAACTTGATTGTACATAATTTTTTAATGTCCTTGGCTTATGCTGTAACTGGAAGTTCCATGTAATTTTTTTCTTTAAATAATAATTCCACAACTAATCTAAATTTATTCGGTACTTCAACGAGACATGAAAATGCTCTTCCGTGGTTGCAGACTCGGCTAAAAAACTTTTTTCGGTTATGTGCCAGAGCAAAGACATGGAAATGTCAAAAATCCCCGCTACCAATACATTGGCACATAATTTCCTCTAGACTCTAAGCAACTGAACATTACTGAATATTAGTAAAATTTTTGGGAATATTTCTCGAATCCATACTGGTAGGGCATGAGAGTTGTACAGACGAGCAAAATAAACGGACGGAATGGTAGCATTTTCATCCCGAGATAAAGAAAAAAAAATTCTTCCTACAAAAAAAAAAGCAAAATAGATATTATAATGTACAATTTTGTATTGTAGTATACAGGGTGATTCGTGTGAATTTTTTATTCCTGCCAAGTTTAGGGTAAAATGGTAACGCATCCATTTTATTAACTTTTTAAATTGAGATTAATGTACTAAACATTTTGACTGATCGATAGCGACTTTTGAAACTACTACTTTTGAAGTTAATTAAGTTTCAAGTTTAGGGCAGGAGGAAAGGTGGAGTGTAGTATTATTTTTATCGGCGTGCACTTCCCAACCGCACTTCTTCTCCCAACCTAACTATTAGACTCTTATTAACTTCAAAAAAAGTTATCCAAAACTAGTTATCGACCAGTAATTTCTTATATCTGGTTTTACGAACGCCGTTTAATATTGTACAGTGTTTTTGAGTACTTTTTAAAATGTTTCACACAGTTTTCGTTTCATAATTCCTAGCCTCGAAAAAAAAAGAACAACCCTAACAATTTTACTAATAAACACCTGAATACAAGTGGAGCCAATAATGTTCTGGCTTTGCAAATATTCGAAGGTATTAAATCACAAGTTGATCATTTTCTCAGACGTGCGATTTTAGGTATTGTGCACGTAGGTATTTTTTTTTTCTTACAATTACTGTCTACAAGGTGATTAATTTAAAGTAAAACGCTTTTTTTCTCGGAAAAAATTGTAACTTTAAAAGTTTTTTTTTTTGAAAAGCAATTTACTTTATGTTATTTTACAATATTATAACATTAAATACATAATTACCTTTTTTAGCATTTTCTAAAATTCTATCAACTTTCGAAACATAAATGGGAACGTAGCCATTTAAATTAGTTTTTAGATTAAAAATATTTGGCTGAAAACTTTGACTAATCGATAACCAGTTTTGGAGAATTACTTTATTAAAGTTTGAATTGTAAGACGGGCGCATACTCTACCTGGCTCCACATTCCGTTCCAAATTCTAAACTTAGTAACTTTAAAAGTAATTGCCCAAAACTAGCTATAGACCATTCAAAATTGTCAGCAAATTATTTTTAATTAAACAAATTAATTTAATCTTTACGTTGGCATTTAAGTTTTAAAAGTTGATAGAGCTTTTGATAGTGCTAAAAATTTGTGTCTTCAAAATTCCAATCATTTTAAGAGAAAATGAGCGTCTTACATTAAATTGAACACAGTGTATATTATTATATGAATTATAAAACAAATATTAAACTCTACTAAAACAACTTGTGGGAACGATTACAGACTACGTGTATTAAAACTATGAGACTTTGACTATTTTGTCATCTAAGAGCAAAAATCGAATTTAATTTACATGGGGATTACAATACGTTTTTGAAACAAGTTAGGAAATCCATCTACAAAGTTTCTAAACGAATTTTTAATAATAAATTGTAAAATCAAAAAAACAATACAATAACATGCTGAATTATCGTTTTTATTAAATTGATAAAAAAACAATAACTATAATCACGGTTTGTAACGTTACCAACCCAAAATTTACATTATTTGATTGATTATCCGTATGTTGTTCTGAAGCCTGACAGAGTTTGAACTTCAAACAAATAATAAAATAAAAAAATTAATGCATGTGATTATTATCAGTAACTTCTATTGATTTTTTGCAAACATGTTGGGTTGATACCTCCCACATTACTCTCATCATACCTAGTCCATGTGACTTATACTGGAACGGATGTATCCGTGGGCAAATCACAGATCTCGCTAAACCATAGTCTAATAAGCGAATCTACCATCTCAAGAAACTGACTTTGTGTAACCATTTCTGATAGACAGATCAACACTCAACATCGTTACATAGAAGCAATAGATAACATTTATTGGAAAAATCTGCGAATTTAACGATCCAGCGATTGAATTTCGTCCGATCGTTATGTATTAGCTATGCAGATGATACTGTTTATAGTTTTGCATTGAACGGGTTGTGGTTCAAGCTGGTTTGTAACTTCAGAATGTCTTATGGAAGGAGTGTTATCGAAAAATCATTTGACCTCAAAGTCCGGCACAAGAGCCACAGATCCCGTAGCTAATAGTGGATATAGTAAATCTAACAAAATATAGGACTTTTTTTTTGTTTAGGTTTATTGTTGGGAGCTGGTCAGTCCATTACGATAACGAGTGCAATGCGACTATAATGGTTCACTGATGTTGCCTGAAGTAACTTGTAAGTCATACATACTAACTACGAACGCGGTGCTCTGGCACCAAACAAAAACGTGGGAGATACGCTTGCGGCGTGAACTTGGACGGTACATTAAAATTGAACGTTGAAAATCGAGATTTAAGACATTTTCTCAATGCTAATTGCATTAATAAGAGCAAGTGTTTTAATGTTAAGCGCTCGTCGATTAGGGTTGTTAAAAAATAATTTAAAAAAAATCAATCTAAGTAGGAGCGCTTGCATTGGTAATCGTCGCGTTCGGCTGGCAGAGCCAAAAAAATGTAGTTAAATGTCTTTAATGTAAACATTAAGATAGTTTGAACTCTACATCAGAGAAAAAAAATATATATATATATAACCATATTGAAAAACCTCAGCTATATAAATTAATAAACATAGACAACCTTCAAAATATAACACGTAGAGTTGATTGTTTCAGTCGACATATTATAAATCAATTGACAAGTCGCAAGAAATCCACTTTAAAACAGTTCTTTAATAAAGCTGATCAAACTAATATTTTTGCTAATAGTTTTAACATTTCAATAATTCAAGTAAGTAATATTGTTAAGCTTCAATTGTTGTAAGTACGCTATTAGTCAGATATTTGTCAGATATCATTTTTTTAAAATAAATGTATTTAAATGTGTGTTTGAGAAATGACATAACTTTTTTCGTTCTTGTACCTTGAATACATGTTAAGTTATTTTACATCTTTTTAACAAGATTGGGTAATAATAAATTAACAAATAGTTATTCAAATTAGATTATTTAAAAAAAAAATGAATAGGAATAATATGACATTATAGAGTTTGAGACATTATACAATTGTTCAGCCCTACTAAAAAGCTAAAAGCTAAGGTGCAAAAATAAGTAAACAGTAATTAAGATTGTCCATTTTTCATCCGTTTTTGAAGTGTTGTTTTTTTCATTATCAAATATTGCACTTTATACAGTTTTATAATTTTCTTTTAAGAAATCAAAAGACCATGACATTTTGGATAGATAGCTTTAATGATTTTTTTGTTATTTATTATTTGCCTTAAAGTGTTTTGTTTGAAAAAATATAATTTTTTTTTTATTAAGTATTTCAACTTAAAATAACTTAAAATAGTTGACATGACTTTATGATATATCGTTTATACATTTGCAGATAAAAATGAAACTTTTCTGTGTTTTTTTATCATTTGTCTTTGTAAATGTTATAGCAGATATAAGTAATTATTTCATTTTTTATACTCACTTACAAGAGGTATTTAAAAATAAAAATAATATGTCACCCTCTTTTATAGGGCAATATATGATGGCGGTTTTCATTACAAGTCAGTAACACTTTTTGTCATGTAGATTGACTGCATACGTTTTTGAAATTTTACTGTTTTTATACAAATTATTTAAAAAATGTGTTACAGACAGACACATACAGCTAGCTTTTGAACACAACACTATTCAGATTGGAAGTGAGATATATTTTAAAATAATATACTAGTATGTAATTTGATTTGTCATAATTGCCTAATTGTCAGATTATTGATAACCTAAAAAGTATACTGGAATGGTCACGTTTAGCCGCCCCATATCATATATTATTGCTGTAGGTATTGAGAGGCTATAACAGATAACTCCTTATGGACTGAACCAAAAATTATGAAATTCGCACAGAACTTTCTTAGATGTATATAAAACAATTATTACTAGATGCTATAAATCAAAAGAATATTGTATGATTTGTCGTGGTAAAAAAAAAAATTGAAACTGACCTTGAGTTGATATAAAAGTTTTGAATTTTTGCTACTTCATTTATGTAGATGAAATCATTTATATAAATTAATTAGTTGTCATCGCTTAAATCATGGTATACACATGTATTCTGATGGTTATTGTACCTCTAATGATTTTATTTGAATTTTTTTTAAAGCCAAAACCTTTATTTCTTTATTCTAGATGGTTTGGAGCGTGTAATTAAAACAATGGTTTATGATAATGCATACTTGATGGGTAGTTATTTTTATATAATAATACAAATAATGCTTCCTACTAGAAAAAAAAATTGAAATTTGTATAAAAATTGCGAACGAAATTCATCAGTGATATAAATATTAAAATTGTTTCTTAAATCTGAATGGAAGTGTAATGAAAAACAACACTGGTGATACGTCTGTCGACCTTATTAAAACATATTTTTTTCTAATAACCACATTTGCTTCAATTTAGCCATTATATTATTTTCATAAAGTTTCCCCTCTATTCAATGGAACCCAATAAATTTTTACACGAATTTGTAATACACATATTTTTCTACCTTGACCTGGCTTATTTCTAATAGAATATTTATTTTTTATTCATTTATAATATTAATTTAAATGCCATATAAATAATTTGTTTAATTTTAATTTCAGACGAAATTAGTGTTATGATCGCTATACCTGGTAATAATTTTCATTGTATTTCATGGAAATATTTTCATTCGGTTGTTTGATAAAGTAAATAATGTCTTGGTGTTAATTTCAGAATATGCAAACCTTAACGACATACAGCGTAAAAAACATTTGTATTTACAATTTTTCACACAAATATTTTTTATATCTATATATATATAATATCATATAAAACACGTACATTAAAACGTATTTTGTTATACATTTCAGAATCCACAAATTACCAAACACTTATGCAAAATGAAATAGCAGTGCAATTATGTAAGTATAAAATAAAATAATTTTCAAAATTGATAGTCACATAGTTTTAAAAAAAGTTTTTAAAAATTATATTATCAATTAATAGTTAAAAGTCATATATTTAAACGTTATTTGCTTAATTTTTTTAATGATCTTACCAAATATAATTCAATGGTTACTATTTGAAATGATTTAATGGTAATAGAATATTTTGCATTAATTAATTGGTCAAATTATCTCAGCTTTAGATTTACTGTTAAGGATAAAATATAAAATATGCTTAAATTAATTTTATAGATATTTAATAAGTGTATACAATTGAAGCATATATATATTTTTTTTGTTACAGCTCTTCCTGTGCCTGAATTTCCAAACCAAAGTACTTACGATTTTTTTTTTTGGATACTAGTATATAGACCTTAAGGCTCATTTATTTTTCAAATTTAATTTATAGTTTTGTTTTCATACAATGATATTACAATGAAGTAAGCTTTTGGTTGGCGAGAGATATTGATATTGAATAACTGTATTTAACAATTGCAAAAAGTTCTTGTCAACAGTAACTAACAATATATAAATTAGTATAAGAACTCATGCATTTGTAGTTTAAGTTTCTAAGCTTCTACAAGTAATCTAGTTAAAAATAATACCCAAAAGGTACTTTATAATGCTAAAAATGGACATAGTTTATCACTCTCCATTAAAATTGAAAAAAAACACCCTAAAAATGTACATATTTTTATAACTTGGCAAGTTGTTCAAACATTAGTTCTACCAAAGTTCCTGAAATTATGTAATGCAACTTATTTAGTTTTAATTTGTATCATTTGTTTTCTACGACACTGGTGTTTATTAATTTTCGCAGATTTTGGAAATCTAAATTTAAGACAACTTGGAGAAGAGAGAAGATTTTTTACTGCAGAAGCTTTAAAAAATATAACCATCAGGGCTTTAGGTAAAAGTTACTACAGAGTTGGAATTGTATAGCTTGTTGAACCATTATATTATTTACCTACTAATTAAAATAATTGATTAAGGGGGCATGCATGATATGGCACAGTGGACACCTCGGCTGTGTACTAAAAGTAGTAGCTATTAATCTAAATTAAAAAAATAAAAAAGTATTTTTTATTTTTTAGACGGACTCGAACCAGGTGTCACTCTAAAACAGTTGTGTCGTATCATAGGAGTATGGACGAGTACACAAATCCCAAATTTATTTATAACATCTACCAATGTTGAACCTTATAGTGTTTGTGCCTTAGAAGATGAAGAAGGTCATGTTGTAAAATACAGATCATTTGAGGGCATATATTGGCAAGTAGACGTCACTGACATTGATCTTCAAATAATACAACTTAGAAACCTAGTGATGGCTACCAACAATAGTAATTATTAAGATCAGGATCTAAAAGCATAACTCTTCTAAAATAATATAATATATTACATAACACTGGTGTTATTATATTTAAATAGTTTTTAATAAAATTATCAAATAATTTGATGAATGTCATAAACAGTTTTGCTAATAATTATAAATTAATACATCTGTTGCTTATGTATTATTGTCATTATTACCACTACTTGCCAGCGTTGAATCTTCGCAAATATTTATTCATAGAACGTTTTAGGTTTTTTGAGACTTAATTCATCCATGTCCGCCTGGCCTGTTACTCTTCGAGTACATCATGTCCTTTCTTTAACTTTTTTTTTCTGGTTTTTATTGTTTCAGATATATTTTCTTCTCATCCTTATCAAAAAAAAAAAAAAATCACCTAGATTTTAAGTTTTATCTCTCATTTACTAATCTTACTACGGTCACAGAGCTATTCTTTTGAATATTATAAGATTTTGTCCTTTTCCTTAATTACTCCAATATTTTACAATATTATTTATCTAAACAATTGTCAATTATTGATAATTATTTTTTGTGAAATTCAAAGAAGAAACGTTTTTATTTCTGTTAATGTCAACACGTTTATATTTAATACAATTATTTAACCTTTCTCAAAATGTGCCGCCTCCACAGTTTATTTATATTATTATATTTTAAGAAAAAACCTTTAAAATAAAACATTTTCAATAATTTTATATCGATAAATAAGCATACACAAAATTATAATTCAAATTATTTAATACGAACATTAGTCTTAAAATGTAAATCCTATACCTAAGAAGAGAATAGTTTGTGCTCTGTGTCAGTATAAAGTTAGTATGTACCATATAGAAATAAAAAGTTATTTTCGGGCAAAAGAGTAATGAAATTTAAAATATCATCAGTCAAAAATGTATGACTTGAATCATAAGTCTAGTCAGATAAAACAAAATCCTTACAGTTAAATAACGTGTTAAAAAATAATTAGTAAACTATAATGTTTAAATTAGGAAATATCATATAATTAGGACAAATGGTGAATAGCTGTTGTAGTAAATTTATATACACAACAAAATAGAGGAAAATTCATATTGTCTTCAAGTCAAGAGTAGTGTAAATATCTAAAAAAAATCACCTCTGTAAATAGTCACATAGAAAAGCTTGCCAAATATTTTTCGATTTTATGCGATATAAATTGTAAGTTATACCAAAAACCAAAAGTTTTAAACTTGCGTCAAAGTGTTGTACATGTCTAGTCATAATTAAAAAGATAACACCAGCTATGTAAATAAACTAACAAAGGCAACCTGTAAAATGTAATTAGATTTTAGTGTTTTGGTCGATATATAAGCACACAGACAAGACTTTAAAATAGTTAGCTTAAGAAGCTTACTAGTCTTTTAATAAGACATGGGACAATTGCATAACACTTTAATTTTGAATAAAACATATTTATCATACCAACTTCTATGTTCTATTATGTATCTTAACTGTAAGACGATGACATTTTGGAAGTAATGCTATATTAGATTTTCAACTTATTCATTATTTAGCTTAAAATATATAATGTTGGAATAGACATTTTTTTATAATTGCCATACATTTATTTTTTAAGAATTGTTTAACGGATAAGACAATCTCCCTAAAATTGTATCATCTTTAGATCATAATGTATGTTATTATGAATGTTTTTGATTTTAATAAATTAAGGAACATGCATTAAGCTCAACCATGTTCTAGAGCTATATATAAAGTCTATTACAGATAGAGCAAGCATGTCCGAACTGATTATTTGTAAAATTACCGTTAAAGTGTTTGTGAGCAAATGTATGTACTTGATTATTGCTATAAGTGTTAAAGTGTTGTGCTTCGTTTACGTGTATTAGATCTCTAATAAACTATTAAACTAACCTTTGGCTTGAATTACTTAATTGTATGTTGTCATCCTGCACATTTTTTTTTTTTGAAGAGCTCTGCGTTATGAAACTCAAATTAAATTAAAATATCTAAGTTATGTGACGTTTAGCATTTGAATTTATATTGTCAGATTCAATAATTCCAATAAAAAGCTACTTTAATACAAATATCGTTAATTTAAACTAACTATATATTCTGTATTGCCATGGAAATATATTAGTAGCATAGTAATATAATAAAAGAATTAAACTTACGCGCTGATGATAAAAAATAATCACTATTACAGTCGCTGCGCCGATAACAGGTTAAATCAGCCAAAAAAACCTAGTCATTAAAACCTATGTATAATAATAATGATAAATTTAATTGATTTCAATTTAAAATAACATTTTTAGGTGTATTTTTTAATTTTATTACAATACAAACCTAATATTCTATTGGTCGATTGACTCTTTTAAAAAATTATAAGGCGACACATTTGTTTTGCTATTTCAAAATAATTTTACTAACGAACAACATGGATGTAGACCTAGAAGATTAACTGGAACTAATCTTGCCACCTATCAGTCATATATAGTCATAATTAATTTTTGAATCCGATTTGCAAGTCGAGGTTATATTTTATACTGATCTAGAAAAAGCCAACCACAGTGCTAACCATATCTTATTAATTATAAAGTTAAAACAATTTGGTGTGTCCAATCCCTTTTTTGCATGGTTTAATCCTCTACTTTTAGGTCATTCACAAATTATTGGCAAGATACATAATTATTTGTCTATTCCATTCTTGGTTTCAACAGGTGTTTCACAGGTGTTCCACAGGGTGGATATTTTTCACCTTGGCTATCAAACGAATTTAGCAGATAGACAAAGGGAGTTAGATTTTTATTTTGTTTATTATTTATTGATTGATTCAATTGAATCAAAAACAAAATAAATCTCGAACATTTAAAGACCTCATTAAAAAATGATCAATTTAAATTAAAATTCGTATCATGAGCCAAATTAACGAAAACCTATAATATATAAATATATATTTAGAATTTTTTATCGATAAAATGGCATACTCATTAAATAGAGAAAAAGTTATGTCTCCGCTTAATGAGTATCGTAAATATGTACAAATCGGCTGTGTAAATAAATTCATATAAGCGAGTCTGCAAAATATTTCTATATATTTCAAGCCATTATAATTTAGTTGTAAAACCAATAACTAATAATGAAAAAATCTTCGTCAAAGTAGTGCACATGTGTAGCCACACTTTAAAAAAATATATAGCAGCTATGTAGAAAAATAAACACCACCACCCTAAAAAAATCGATTTAAATTTTAGTCTTTCCGTCGATGTACAAGCCCAAAGACAAAACGTAAAAAACTCACTTCAAAATAGTTTAACAAGGTAATAATTGGTGCGTTTCAATAATATAACTAAAATGTACTAGCAATCTACAAAAGTCGTAAGTATGCTTTTAATCAGATGTGCGACAATTTTTAAATACTATCAAAAAACCCGTTATGCAGACACACGATGATGGTTGGTTCACTCTAGTACCCTAGAAATTTACCACGGTCAAAATATAGTTTTCCTAATATTTTTGTATTTTAATTATAATATTTTTATAATTATTTACAGATAATAATGAAACTTTTCTGCGTTTTAATGTCATTTCTCTTTGTGAATGTATCTGCGAATATAAGTATTTATTTTGTTTTCGTACTTACCTAAGCGAGGTAGTTGAAAAACTAAAAAAAAAAAATTATGTTTTACTCTACTTTACAGCGCGCTATACGATGGAAGTCTTTATTACAAGTCGGTAACATTGTTAATCTTCTACAGGGTGATTCATAAGGTTTAAGACACTCAATATCTCTTAAGACAATTGCAATTTTGTGATGATTTGTTTTTTAAAGATATTTTCGTTTATATTATCGTACAATATAATAAAATTAACTTAATTAAGTTAGTAAGATAGGGAATTGGATATAAAATAGTTGAAACAATAAGTAGCTAAAATTTTGTAAAAATAAAAGTAGGTCATGCTGGTGTATACATAAAACTTGGGATGTAAGAGTAGTCAGTAATCAGTATTCAGATAGTTGTATTAGCTTATATCATCTTTATAGCTGTTTTTTAAGTTAAATAAAAACCAATTGTATAAATCTTTTATTTCAAAGAGAAAAAACTACAAAAAATTGCAAAGAAAAAATGAGCATACTATCCTAGATGAATCATCCTAGAATAACTTCATGAATTCGATTGAAATTTAATATTTTATTACATATTTAAAAACAAAAATACTTTAGACAAACACATCGAGCTAGCTTCTGAACACAATGATCGTTTGCTTGGAAGTAAGATATTATATCAAACAATTTATTTAATTATATAATACACATATTCCCCGTGGAAGAGCATCAGAATACTCCCACGGCACGTTCGCATGTGGTAAGAGGTAACAAACGAGGGCATTGGTTTGTAGGGGTAGAGGAGGTCTAGTGGAGCTGTTTCACTAGTCATGTGTGCAGGTCCACCCATCGCTTTTGGATTTAAGGACATCACTACTGCGCCCTGGATTAGTTTTGAGAAACAGGTATAAAGTAAAAATAGCACATTGAATGCAAGGCCATTAAACAGTACGAGTAGAGAATAAGTGGAAGTACAGTGGGAAAATTAGAAGGTCAGTGTTTGTTGTTTTCAGGTGACTAATTGTAAATAAGGAAAGGAAAAAAATAGGGGAGTTATTATAATAGATTCAGGCAGGACTAATACAGGGAAAAGAGTGGAAATAATAACGAAGGACGAGAAGCAGGATATACTAATATAATGGTCATCGTTTAACAGAAACTTATTCTGGTATTTATATCTGTTATGATTAATTTTCAAAGGTTTTTTTTTTATTCTAGATGGACTGGAGCGAGTAATTAAAACAATTGTTTCTGAAAACATACATCATATAGGTATTCATAATAGTAAATATAGCTGCTTAAGTATGCGAATTTATCAGTGATGGAAATCTGAAATTTTACTATAAAATAGAAATGGAAAATTATCTAAACTGATATGTAAACGTTCTGGCGTTAGGTCTGTTAACCGTTCTTGTCATTCGTCGTTTAATTTATTAAAGCATGGGAAATTAAATCCAATATCAATACTAAAATATGTAATGTTAATTTCAGAAGTGATGAATTTTATGATCGCTGTACCAGGTAACAATATTTTTTCATTTCATGTTATGGAACTATTTCCAAAAAAATTGTGTGATATTCATTTAGTATACCATATTATCGTATTCATTTCAGAACATGGATTCCTCAACAATAGCCACAACATAATGAGTATTTAAATTGTTTTTACACAGATTCTTATAGTTGTGTATTAAAATTTATCAAAGACTTACATATAAAACATAAAAAACAAAAAAATAAATTGCTTTTAAATTTCAGTGTCTATACGTTACCAGATATGTATGAGAACAGTAATAAGATATAAATTAGGTAAATACAAAATAAAAAATTTCCTAAGCGGACAATTTTCAAAATTGATACTTACAGGTCTGAAGAAAAACTATAAAAGTTCTATATAAGTCATAAAGCTATAAGTATTTTTTTAAGCCTTTGATGATCATTCAACATAAAATTAAAATTATATTAATTCAAGCGTCACTATTAGAAATAATTAATGATAACACATTGTTTGGTCAATGGGTCCAATTAATCACAGTTTTAGAGTGAATATAAAATAATTATATTTAACATTTTTGTAACAGGTATTCCTACACCTAATGGTCAAAACTTGAGTAATTATGAATTATGATAGTAGCATAATACATTATGGCTTGCTGTAAAGATGAATTTTGTCTTATATTTTTTCTTTCTCAAGAAAATAAACTTTTTGTTGGAAAGAGAGAGTGAGACTAAATATCTATTTAACAACTATTATATCTAATATATTTTCTTAAATTAACAATGTTTGCAATCCTGACATTTCACCGTATTCAACTTCACTTAATTTTAGCCATAATTTATTTCTCAGGTATTGGAAACTTACATTTATCACGACTCGGAAATGACAGAAGACTTCTAACTAGAAATGCTTTAAAACAAATAATTAGCAACGCCTTGGGTAAATGTTATCATAGAGTTTTAATGTTATTGCTTTTTTAACCATTATGGAATATACTATACACAAAGCATCGCAGTCCCATTTAACACGTACAAATTGTTGCTTTATGGTGGGCTAAAATTGTCGATCAAACGGCTGGACAGAATTGACATTTTATGAGATAGATACTAACCAGTAGATTGGCAATGTTGTGTACATTAGAGAGCTAAAATAAAAATATAGATTGGTTGAATACTATCTTAGTTACTCACAACAATAGTACAACATTTTACTTATGTGGTCATAAAATGTTTAATTTATCACAACGGGGCATTGGTGACGAAGTGGACAAAGAGAGATGGGGGATTGCCAAGTCGATTTCTAGCCATAAGATTTATGCTACACTACCTTAGTAAATGCGATTGTCTGTTTAGCCGTCACGTTTACTGGTATTAGTACACACCAGCAATGTTACCATCATCAGCACATAAAACAGACTGAGACCGATTAAAGGACAAAAAAGATCAATGCTATGTAGGTCAGACACACAAGAAACATAAAAATCCAAAAAATATAAAACCTCCTGTAGTATTTATTGAATACTAATCATAGCATAAAATTAGTAAAACTACTTAAAAATGTAAACTTAATACTCAGTAGAAATGTTGAAAAATAGGAATGACTTGTTAAACAGAGACTTGAGTGAATTACAAAACATTTTATTGAAATTCATAAAAACACATGCTCACAATGATTATTTCCGGTATGACGACGCTGTATATAATAATATATAAAGAAGGTGTTGCATAGTTGCATTTGTACAACAATGAAAATTAGTATCTATTAAGCTTAATTAATCAAATTAAAAAAAATTGTTTTTTTTTTTACTTTTTAGATGGAACTGACCCTAATGTTACATCACAACAAATGTGTCGTTTCATAGGATTGTGGATAAGTACGGAAATCCCAACGTTATATATAACAAATGCTTATATTGACCCTTATATGAGTAGAGTTTGTATCTTAAAGGATAAAAACGATCACGCTATAAAATACAGAACCTTTAATGGCACATATTGGCAAGTAGACGTGAATAACACTGAACTAAAAATAATAGAACTAAAAGATCAACTGCTTATAGAAGAGTTATCATTTATCATAGTTAGATAATATTTTACACTAGGAACCAAAAGTATAACTCTTCTAAAAAGTACTGTTATGTTATTATATTTTAATAATTTTTACATAATGTACCAATAACGAAAATGACAGTTGATTTAATTTAAATCATAATAAACAGTTTTGCTCACAATTATAGATACATTTTTTGCTTTTGATAATTTATTATTTTGACCGGAATTATGGTAGTCTCTCCTCTCTCTCTCTCTCTCTCTCTCTCTCTCTAGACTGTTGAGAGAGCTCTCCCTGTCCGACGGTTGGAATGACTGTAGTCTTCCAAAGAAAAAGACCACCTACCTGAGTGTTGATCTGACGACAGTGAGCTCACATACATAATACAACCTTACCTTGCCTGATTATAAGCCATTCAAGTCCTTTGCCGCCACTACCACTCCTCTGCACCTATTTCCATCAGAAGTCATTTCTTTGCATATTTATTCTTAAAAATGTTTAGGTAATTTTAGTTTTAGTTCAACCATCTCTGTCTGGGGCACTATAATGGTTTTCTATCCTTCCAGTCAATTTAATCACTTCTCGGATCAATCCATCTTGTACCCTACATGTTTCGTGTACTGTCCAAATTATTTTCTTCTTTTTTGTTGTTCAAACTATTTTTAATTCGTACCCTCTACAAATTATATATCCCCTAGATGTCGGGTTTTAATCTCTTGAATACTCATGTATTATAATCACACTATGGCCTAAAACTTTGGTGCAGAACTTTTTTCTCTAACATAACAAAATTGTTTCTATATTTTTTTGTTTTAATATATTGATAATATAATGAAATTTGCAAAAAAAAAAGCTTGAACAGTTTATTAACGTTTCTATCTAAAATAATAAATCGTTCTTCCGAGATATGAAGCAGATAATTATGCATAAAATAAATTTACAGACTTAATAAACTCACGAATTTTAATCTTTTTTAAAAAAAAAGCCATGAATTAAATTATAAGAAGTTTTTTGGAAAACGCATTTGCTGTTTCATAGTTAAATATGTTGATATTATACACAAGTTAAACAAATTTTAAGAAAATATATTTATCTGTCCTTTTTTTGACCACTCTTTTGTTGTGAAAACGGTGATTTCAATTAAGAGATTTCTTAACTAGTAGTATTACTGTTGAAAAATATCATCAGCATTTTGTGACTTGATTCATAAATCATAGCCAGAAAAAATAAAATAATTTAATTAAAGAGCACAATATTAAAAAATTAGTAAACTAAAAATTATTCAAATCAATATCGAAAACAATGAATACTTATTAATTATAAATTTTTATTTATAATATTTTATCAATAAAACGCTATTAAAAGTAGTGAAAAATGTACAATGTAAAAAAAAAAATCATAATTATTTTTGCTTGCCTGCAAAATATTCTTTTATTTGACGCCATGACAAACTATCAGTTGTAAAACCAACAACTAAAAAGAATTTAAACTCTGCATCAAAGTATAGCACCTGTGTAAAAATAATTTTAAAAAAATATATCAGCTATCTAAATAATTTAACATGGGCAACCTGATAAATATATCTAGATACCTACTAGTGTTTCGGTCGAAACGTAAGCACATGCATAAAGCACAATAATGTCACTTAAAAATGGTTAGCCTAATAAACAGATGAAATGTATCTTAGTCTTAATAATTGTATAATTTCAATAGTTTAAGGAAGTTGTATTATCAAGCTCCAAAAGTTGTAAGTATTCTTTAAATTACATATGGATCAATCTTAAAAAAAACGTTATTAGTAGAAACTCATATAAGACAAAAAAAAGCTACTACACAGGGGTTGGGGCATAGTGGGGATGAGAAGGTCGCGGGTCTACATGAATTATTTCAAATTTATTTCTAATAAGCGCCTTTTCCATTAAAAAAAAAAAAAATTGACTTCAGATTTTTAACATCGAGTCGGTTCTCCATAAACTTTTTTGTTAACTGCAAATTTAAGTTTACAAGTTCACCTATATGGCTGCAAAACGGTAAGAAACGCACTTTCTTCTTTCCTAACAGTGTTATTTCTAAAACGGCAAACGGCGGTTTGTCGTTCGGCCGCGTTTGGTCTGGTGGCCATATTTTATTTAAATTGAACTTACGATTATACCGGGTGTTCGATCACACCTGGTGATACAGGATGTAGCAGAAGTCCGTTCTCGGATTTTGAAGAATCTACTTCCTGACCCCACCCCCCCGGAGGACTAAAACCGCGCTACCGTATTTGTCTTGGACCTAGAGACCCCAAGCCCGCGGCCACCTCTTAGGGGCTCCTAGGCACCTAACATACTGAAAGTGACCTTTCCCCCCCCCCCCAAATTTTGGTTTTTTGTAAACGTCATAACTCCGTGGCAAACGGTCTTGGAGACTTGGTTTAAACGTCGACCATTATGGTTCGGAGTACCCTTACTGGTACGCCTTCACTCCAGGGGTCTACGATCCCTTCCAAGGGACCACCCCCCCAAGTTTTGCGCCCAGAGCCCTCAAACTCAGTACCCACCTTTGGGTGTCCTAACTTGGTCTGCCAATCAAATTTCGTGAAATTCGGACGATTTTACCCCCGTGGTTAACGGTTCTAGTGTTGTACACCGTGTCTACAGCCCGTTGATCGTACCATACACACAACCGAGGATTCTGAAATGAGCAATGTGGAAGAGATACGCCATCTAGTCCACTCCATAAAAAGCAGAAGTTGAGTTCCTCACTTTTCCAGTCTAGTTTGGATGCGGTAGGATGGCTTAAGACCGCCATGCCATCGAGAAAGAAGCATATACGAACAGGAAGTTATCTGAAACGACTGCTTTACAACTTTCGAGCAAATTGGATACAATCATTAACTTAGCCAACCAGTTGGATGAAGATCGGACAAATTTCTCAGGCATAGATATTGGTGTTCTTGTGTGGAGTTCACAAAGGAAATATCGAACAAGCAAACAGAATTCGAAATTCTCAAAAATCCAAAAACCGATCACCGCGCACTATCTGCTCACAGTGAGATCCCGAAACAACTGAGATGGAAGTTGTTGTGAGTAAAGAACCTAATCGAGGAAGAAAAGAAACCAAAATCAATCCGGCAAAAGACAGGGCAGAGAAGGTACGAGGACCTCGCTGAACCACTCAGTTGGGGTTGATCGTGGCGCTGGATTTTTAAGACAATTTTACATGTTTCATTCTAGATCTACCTTTGGACTAATTTTCAGACCGAAATGTCTAAAATGTTGCTTAAAAAAATTGCAATAAAGAAAACATCTCTATCCCTTCTAGAGGAAAGGGTTTATAATATTTTTTTGTTTCACCGATGTTTATCGATAGTACTATGATGAAAAAATGAGATAAGAGATAAGTGAGACAAGAGTGATAAGAGATAAAAAATCTATGATTCGATGTTTTCCTGTAGAGCGGAGAAAAAAACTAAGTCTAATTTTTATAAAAATCACACCTGTTTAATACTCTATAGTTAATTTTATAATTAAAATGTACAACAGTTAAACAGTTTCTTTTGTTTATTATTACTTTATTGTTTTAAGTAAAAAACAATGCAAAAAAAAAAAATTCAATCTTAGGCAAACATGTTCATACTGCTTCTTAGGATTTACACAATATATCGGTTAGTACTATATCTTAACAATAATCTAAACAAAATTAAAAGAGATTTTATTTTTTTTTTAAAATTATACCAGATCTAGTTTAGTTATGTAGAGAAAGGTGTGAGTCAGTTTAAATGTTGACCCAATTAAGTACTTTCCATTCACCATATACGACTTTTATATGAACAAATTAACTAACCTATCTAGAAAATATTGTAAAGTCAAAAAAAAAAAAAATTTTAATAATAAACATTGTAAAACCAATACCTCGTCTACTTACCTGAGGCGACTGTGATTAGTTTTAAATTAAATTCATATTTTTTATTCTTTACAGATAATAATGAAACTTTTTTGTATTTTAATATCATTTGTTTATGTGAATGTATTCGCAAATATAGGTATTTAGTTTGTTTTCATACTTACTTAAGCGAGGTAGTTAAAAAACTAAAAAACAAATAATGTTTTACTCTTTTATACAGCGCGCTATAGGAGGGAGGTCTTCATTACAAGTCAGTAACATTTTTAATCATATACAATGTGATTTATTAAGCATAAGATATACCTACTCAATATTTATTAAAAAAAAATTTCAAATTTATAGTATTTCTTTTGGAAAATATGTTCGAATCAATTTAACGGTATTTTAGACACTAACCGAATCGGACACATAACGTCAAATTTTGATATTTACTATCAGCTTTATTAAAGTTTTAGGAAGGATGGAGTGTCATATCATTTTTATCTACCAGCATTAATTTTGCGCACTACACCTTCCGTCCATATATTAAACTTAAGTATTTTTTATATTAATATCGACCAGTCCACATTTTCGTACAATTTTTTCTAATTTAAAAATTAGTGAAATATTTTGTACGTTTTCTTTTAAATTTTTAAAGCTGACGAAACTCTTGAAAAAAATAAAAATGATAATATATAATTGTTATTGTCTAATGTTGTAAAAAAATAAATAAATAAAGTGCTCCCCCAAAAAAAAGCTACAAAATTTCCCAAAAAAATGAGTACCTATCTTATCCCTGATAATTCATCCTAGAATAACTCTATGATTTTATTTTTAATTTGAAATTTAATTAAATATTTAAAATAAATTTTTTAGACAAACACATCGAGCTAGCTTCTGAACGTGATAATGATTTACTTGGAAGTAAGATATATAACAATTTGTTTACTTATATACATACCCTGTGAGTAAATATAATACCCCATTCCAGTTTTAATAATTTGTTATCATGATTTAGCTTGAAAACCTATTTTCGTTTATTCTAGATGGACTGGAGCGAGTGATTAAAAAGATTATTAATGAAAATACTTTCCTATTAGGTATTTATTATTATACGGGTCTTAGTAAGAACAAAGCTACTTAAAAGAAAAAAGATATTTTGAATTTTTATAATAATTACAACAATACTTTATGCAAATTTATCAGTGATATAAATATTAAATTATACTATAAAATATAAATGGAAACTTCAGGAATAATCATATTGATACTCATCCTCAACATATTATTACAATATCTTATTCTACTCGCCACATCGTCTTTAATACAGCCATTATAATATCATAATACTTCCACTCTATTTAAAAGAGCCAAGCACAGTTCTTTTCAAAAACATGTTTATTATTATACATTGAACTTCGTCGTCCAATTTATTATAGAATAGAAAAATTAATCCAATATCAATTATTTATGTATTAATTATACTAAATATTTATTAATTATATAATTTAATAAAATATCACTGTAATCAACCTTCTACCTCCAAGGTTTGCTTATAGGATGCAGATAAACCTTAATAAATGGTTTTCTAAAAAAAAAATGTTAATTTCAGATGTGATGAATTTTACGATCGCTGTACCGGGTAATAATTTATTTTGGCTGTATAATATTTTGGTCATATTTTCACAGATTTGTTTGATATTTATTGGGATACAATGTTTTCGTATTTATTTCAGAGCATGCAAAACTTAACGGCAGAAACAACATAATGAGTAACTATATTTATATTTACAATACTTTGCACAGATTTACTATTGGTATGCATTAAAAATAACTATTAACTTACATACCGGTATTAATAATTAAAAAAAAAAAAAAAATGATAATCAAACTTAAATTCTTTCAATTTCAGTGTCTATACATAACCAGCGACGTATAAGAACAGAAATAACACATATACTAGGTATAGGTAAAATTTAAAATTTTCTAGCAAACAATTTTCAAAATGTAATTATACATAGTTCTAAGAAAAAATTCTATTTAAGTCGTAAGCTCATAAAGCTATCAATATTTTGATAAGCTTTTGATGATCATTCGACATATTATTACAGTTATTAATTCAATCGTCGCTATTAGAAATCATTTAGTGATAATACATTAGATTGTTAATGGTTAATCGGTTCAATTATATCGGTTTTATGGTTAAGCAATAAAAAAAAATATATATTTTTAACATTTTTGTTATAGGTATAGTGGCACCTAATGCTCGTAACTTAAGTACGTAGCTATGAATTTATTAGATAGTAGTAAATAATATAAAGATGACATTTTTTTATGCTTATTTTCACCACAATAATTACAATAGAGTACACTTTTAGTTAGAAAGAGAGAATGACAGTAAACAACTGTTTAGCAACTATTACATCTAATATATATATTATTATCTTTAATTAATGGTATTGGCAATCCTGAAATTTCAGTAGTTAATTAAGCAACAACTGTTATTGTTGTATAGGCATTATTTTCATTGTATTTATTTTCCTTTTTAAATGTTGCGTTTTCTTCGTTATTTATTGTAAAGCTCTAAACCGACTTTTTTTATGTTTCGAGTCTACACACAAAAAATTGTATCAGAACGGTACTTTATAAGGCTAAACATAGTTAATGTTCATTCCTCTCAATTTAAATCAATAAAAATAACACAAAAATGTACGTACTTTTTAACTTTACAGATTGTACAAACCATTAGTTATATCACTGTTCTTCAAAATGTAATACGATTATATATCATGAGCGACTTATTTATTTTTCACTTGTATTATTATTATTTTTTTTTTATCTAAATGGTTATTTAAACGTTTTGACAGATTTTGGAAACTCAAATTTACCACAACTCGGAGAAGAGAGAAGACGTCTTACTGGAAAAGCTTTAAAACAAATAATTATCCACGCGTTGGGTAAATATTAATATAGAGTTGTTGATTTTAACCTTTACATATAATTATATAGTATTAAATCTACATCTTATATGTACCAATGAAATAATTGAATCATAAAAATATTATTAAAAATCAATAACAATATAAAGTATTTTACAGACAAACATATCACAGATTTATCTTCATCACAGTAACACACAAATTAAGTTCATTATTTATTTCAAACATAGGAACTTAGAAAATAAATAATTATTTTGAGCATTTATTTTCTCCGTACTTACTATTGTTGTTAACATCACGGTCAGAATTTGTCTTTTTTATTTAGTTAATATTCTTTAATTTCCTTTGGACTCTCTTTGGTCCATATCTTATGCGATGCGTTATAACGCCAATTTGCCAATTTTTTTACAATTATTTAATAAGTATAATTCAGAACAATAAAACTTAAAAACGTATAATTACATTTCTTAACACCTAACCTGATAAGTGATCACTAGATTACCAATTTGTACATGTGCACTATCTAGTCACCACTAACACATACTTTTATTACAATACACAAACCCTTAAAGAGTTTTGTGTATAGAGCAAGACAATAAACTTCAGTTTCTTTTTTTTTTTGGTGGGGTCAATAAGAAAATTTGAGCATCACGCAGATTTTTTTTAAATATAAAAAAATTGTTTTTTTTTTAAACTTTTTAGATGGAACTGACCCTAATGTTATTTCACAACAAATGTGTCGTTTCATAGGATTGTGGATAAGTACGGAAATCCCAACATTATATATGACAAATACTTATATTGATCCTGATATTAGTAGTGTTTGCATTTTAATGGATAAAAGCAATCACGCTGTAAAATACAGAACCTTTAACGGCACATATTGGCAAGTAGACGTGAATAACATTGAATTACAAATAATAGAACTAAAAGATCAACTGCTTGTGCAAGAGTTATCATTTATCATAGTTAGATAATATTTTACACTAGGAAAAGTATAACTTTTCTAAAAAGTACTGTTATGTTATTATATTTTAATAATTTTTACATAATGTACCAAGTTCGAAATTGACAATTAATTTTATAATAAACGTTCTGTCCACGAATGTAAACACATTTGTTACTTATTAATTATTAAAACTGGGGTTGTCACTCTAACAACTCTAAAGGCATCTCTTTAAATCAAGTATCCATGTTAAAAAAATACTCTATTACTGCTCCTCATAGCCCATCATACTGGCCAACATCACACAGAAAACGTCCAGATATTCTGGACACACCAAATAACATTCAAAAATCAATTAAAAATATATTCGACCCCTGTTCTGACCCTTCTTGCTTAAATACCAATCCTGCCAATCCGCACCAATCTTTAACAAATAAAAACACAAATTGGGAAACATTCAGAAACATTATTGATACTAGTTTAACTTTAGATATTACCTTAAAAACTGTGATGATATTTAAACGCAACTAACAATTTTAACATCTCTTGTACAGACTGCTGCCTGGAAATCTACCCATACATTAAATAAAACCACCCCCCCGAATTCCACCCCTCTTCCTCTGTATGTCCGTGACCTGATTGTCTTTGAACCAAGAGCCAAAGTTGCGTGGCAAAGAACAAGATTTCTTTCTGACAAACATGTATACAATAATTTAACTCTTAAAGTTAAAAAAATGCTTTCCGAAATATAGTCTGCGTAGGCCAGAAGGCCAACAGTTGTCTGTCTTAGTGAAAAACCTACAGTGACATTTGCTCTTCTAACAACCTTCTCCAACACTAAGTCAAAGAGATTAGGTGAAAGTGCGTGCCCTGTCTCAGTCCTGTTGTTACTTAAAGTCTACGAATAATGCGCATAGGTTTTTATCGAATTCCCGTGCTTTTGAAAAATTTGTCTCATGTTGTAAAATCTGATCCGTGGTTAACCTGTTCTGTTTAAAGCTGCATAATAAAATGTAATTTTCTGTCTTTGTTCATCTAGTCTGATTATTATTTTTAAAGTTTTTAGTTTAAGAAAAGAAAAACAGATTAAATGTTTCTGAGAATTTAATAAGTTTGAAATAGAGTACGGGAGCGAACGGGAAACAATAGGAAAACATAAAAAAAATGATATCGTGGACTGTTTGTATAATTAAAACTGGTGCTTCGTCTACACAAATTGATTGGATATGCGACCAAATTCAAACGAATTTAGATTTAATTTTGTTCTGATATTCTCGAAAGCGCAGTGTTTTCTAGAAACAAACGACGGCGGAATAATGTTATTCTACTCGAACAAGCTGACATATTGCCAGTGGCTTTTTTTACACCTAAAGACGGACTAAAAAATATGACGTCCAAATTTAAAGAACTACTTTTCGGGGATAGTTCTGTCACGCGAAAGTCGCTTGAGAATTAAAAGTACGACTTACTCGTCCTCTCCTTCTACCGCAGTGGTCTTCTCGAGACGGGAGCTGTGGATACACCGCTGAACGGCGGTTGGTCGAACAGCCATTTCCTGACGGTCTTCCTCTCCATCCCCAGCACGTCCGGAGCGGAAAGACCGGAAACGACGATCGATAACTTTTCGGGCATCTTGAATACGATTCGATTGGCAAAGTCTGTGTTTAATCGGCGAAAGTCGTAAAAACTTGGGCAGTGATATCCGAGTAGCATCAACTGTTTGAACGGCAAAGGAAAAAATCTTGTTGACCGAGGTCACCTAGACGACGGCCGAGCAAACCGGCCTTGACGACCAAACGCATAATTACACAGATCGAACGGTCGCTATGAGAATTCAAATTACCTATTGTTTTTTTACCACGTTTTTTATGTTTTAATGGGGAAAAAATCGTACAACCGCCTTTTTTTTAAGAGCCGGGGCGACATAGCTGACCCCGAAAAGTGTTTAAAACTCGACAGAGTAATATTGTACCGAGGTACATTTAATCTGTGTTTCAACAGGGTTTTCTTGTGTCTGTCTTAATTAATTAAAACGCCACAAGGATTTAAAAACATTTTAGTTTTATTAAATTTTTTACTACATTTCAGTTACACAAAAAACGGCGTCTCGCAAAGGCAATTTCTATACGTCCGCGTATTCGGGTATTTTGCTGAACGTCATTATTATTTTTTAGTGTAATTTCATTTATACAGTCACACAATATAAAAGCTTATTTTACGAGTAGCGTAATTATTGTGTAAAATAAAAAAATCTTACAAATATTTTCTACAACGATATTATCTGCACACTACACTATAATATATTGCCGAGCTGTTAAAGGAGTCGTTTGCTTTCACAACGGACCGATTAGATACTTGAAGGGTTTGAAACGTGTCGCCAAACCGAATACACACGTTATTATTATACTAGTCGAGGTGGCAAAAAAAAAAAAAGTAATAACAATAAAGCGTCGATTTATTATGACAAGATAACGCGGATGTGCGTACACGGTTAGGTTAGGTTAGGTGATACAATATTATGCACGATAGACAAACGATCCGCCGGCAAAAGATTCAAGTCCGAGCCACCTTCGTATGCAAATATTATATTTAAATTCAAATACAGAATCTATTCGATATTGTTTTGCTTACTAAACTTTAAAATTTTAGTAATCGTATTTTGATTTTCACATTAAATTGTTTATTTTTGTATACAGTTGCATATTACAGGTTGTTACATTTATACATTTTTGATAATAATTGATTCACAAAGTTTATTATTTACCATTTTTTTTTTGTTTTAGTTAGTTTTATTTAAAGATATTTGTTTGTTTGTACTATATTTTGTTCTTTTCGTTATTACTACAATGTTAAAAAAAAAAAGTCGTTTAAATTGTTACGATTTTTGTGTTAGTTTAATTAATAAAATGTACCTAGTTTTCTGTCTTTGCCAAACTGGTTTGATTATTTGCTATTTTAATTTTGGCTGTATAGTGTATAATAATTGTTTTTTATACATCTCACGGCTTTAGATTTTGTTTGATATGCGTTAATAATATTGCCCGACGGTGTTGGCATGTCTGTATTTTTTTCCCGGCTGTAATATAATATTACGGTATACATCAAAATAATTATACTTTACGGGTCAGTATTTTTTTTTTTTTTATGTATTATGAAATCACGTTGAATTTTGTACCGATATTGAATATTGTTTTTATCTACTGTAATCGTCGTTTATCGGGGAAAAAATCCGACCGGTCCTTATCATAACAAATCAACACTAATGAAAATCATAAAAAAAAACTCGAGTTTATGTATAAAAAAAAAAAAAAAAAAATAGGCAATTTGAGTTTGCATAGCGACCGTTCGATCTGTGTAATTATGTGTTTGGTCGTCAAGGCCGGTTTGCTCGGCCGTCGTCTAGGTGACCTCGGTACCAAAAAGTACCAGGCTTCTATACTTGTACAGAAAAACTTATCCAAATTCCCATGTGCTTCCGTACAGTAAAAGCCATGCCTACATTTTTTTTTTTTATTCATGAAAAAGCGGATTTTTAGGTTGTTTTTCGACTAACGTTTTTTTGCATTAAGGGGGCTCCATACAGACCATTTTTTCAGTCAAAACACATCATTTTCATTCCATCGCACAGGCCTTACCAGTGCTTATCCGATAAGCAATCTAAAAACAGATTTGAGTTTGTCGTGAAGTTTACTTAGGATCGGTCGAGGTATTTTTTTCAATTTTTAATTTTAACCCTTTTAAATTTTATTTTAAAATGTTGAAATATTGTAAAATGTTTAAACGTGTTTTATGCACAGTAGGAATAAGATACCTATCAAAAAAGTACGTCGACCGATCTCAAGTGAATTTTTTGACGAATACAAATATCTTCATATTACTTATCGGATCACTGGTTGAGCCTGTACTATGGAACAAAAAATGTATATTATATTAACTAAAATGGCTTTTACTCATAGGCAAAATGATTTAATTAAAAATAATACCTTGAAGCTTGTACAAAATTAATCGGTAAATTTATTGAAATGGTCGAAATTTATTTAAACTAATTTTTTCTTAAATATTGCCTAAACAAAACTCCTTAAAAATGATCTGTATGGAGCCCCCTTAATTGAATTCTAAACGTTTAAAACCAATTACCAATAAAAAATAAATGAAAACTCTGCGTCAAGTACTGTACATATTTAAATAGTTACACCAGCTATGCAAATAAACTAACATACGGACCTTGTAAAATATATTTCAATTTTAGTGTTTCGGTCGTAATATATGACTGAAGACAAAACGAAAAAAAGTCGATTCAAAATATTTAGCTTAACAAACAGATCAATTTGATCTTTGTCTTAATAATTGTAGCATTTAAATATTTTAAGTAAGCTGTATTATCAATTTCAAAAGTTGTAAGTATGCTTTAAATTATACATGAACCAATTTAATAAAAAATATTGTGTGCTACTGGAAAAGATAATTTTTACTCTGTTATAATGTTTATAATTTTATTTTTTACCGAACATGACATTCTCAATTAAATGTTGCCCGCTTTCGATTTCGATTATCAATGTTTTTGCTTTAAATCAAGCATAAAATAAGTATTGCCTTAGGAAGTTTTTGATCGCAAAATGTTAGCAATTAAAATTGCAAGCGTGGCATTTATAATTTTACGCAGTCTTATTAACTATCGTACAAAAGAAATATAATGCAATATGTTTCTGTCAATAGCTAAACATAAATTATACAATTATTGATGTATTTGTACTTGTATTTTTATAATCAGTCAAGCTGAATTAAAGTAAATAGAAAAATTAAATGCCAAACGTGTAAAATTAATAACTAATAAAAAATAAACTCTGCGTCAAAGTATTGTACATATGTAGTCATAATAAAAAATATTTACCTAAAATATAAATAAACTTAAATATTCTTTGCAAAATAGTAGTAGTAATTTGGGGCTTTACCGCCCATTTTTACAAATTGTAGTAAATTAAACTAGAAATGAATAACAACATCTCTTTATATAGTATAATACCTTTTATTAATCATAATAATTATAATATTTTATGATTTATCAATCTGTATAGTATAAAATAAACTTATATAAAGGTTTTTTGTCTCTATTATTCAAAGCTAAATCAATTTTAAATTACATAAATTCTACCTAACACACATGAAAATTATCCTGAAGAACCGAATCCTTTTTCTCCTCTATCAGTTTCATCTAATGACCGAAGTTCCCTGAGTTCTGGATACACAATTTTTTCACATATTAGTTGTGCTACTCGATCTCCACGTTGAACGATAAAGTCTACACCAGAATGATTGAATAGGAGAATACCAACGTTTCCGCGGTAATCTTGATCAATTACTCCAGCTAGGATTTAAAAAAAAATATATATATAACATTTTATTTAGTGATTAGATTTTATAAGCATACCTCCAACATCAATAAAATGTTTCCATGCTAATCCTGATCTCGGTGCAATTCGTCCATATGTACCATGTGGTACCACAATTTGTAGATCGGTCTTAATCAATTCTTTTCCATGTGCTACTACAATATATTGGTATGCACTTTTTAGATCGTATCCAGCCGCATGTTGACTTCCTCTAATCGGCGTGTATGCTTTATCGGTTAATTTAGAAAATAAAAGCATCTAAAGTTTTAAACAATCATTCATTCATAATAATCTTTATTTAATTTAACCCTAGCTTCATTTACTAATTTTATCATAGCATCATTCGTTTTTTTGTCTAAACTTTTTTCTAATTTTTTTTCTAATTCATCATTCATTAACGTCATATTTATTTTATTTTCCAAACTAGTGATACATTCTTTGAATGAGTTATTTAATTCAGATTTTATTGTTTCTATTGTATTTTTTGAAACATTAGTTATTGATTCATTATGTGTATTTAGTTTTTTTTCTAAACTATCTTTTAAACCAGTCTGAGTTTCTAAGATAGAATTTTTTATACTATTTTCCAAATCAATTAATTTCGAATTTAAATATTTACCAACTCCGATATCATTGAAATGATTTATATGATGACCAAAATAATCCATTATTAATTTAAAAATAGAGATCTTAACAGTGACAAGGACTTCTTATATACTAAAACCAAAACAAAAAAAACTATATTATACGAGTTTACGCACTTCTCGGGTAAATGGCGAATACTCAACTATGCGGTCGTGTATTAACATACAATAAGCACTAACACCAGTTAAATTATCATCAGCTTCTATTTCTAAACGTAAGTCAATTGTAGAAGAAATTTCAGAATCGTTTTGTTTACTAACATCTAAAACAATAATTGGAGCATTTGATAAAAACAATTTTGGACTTAGTATCGGATTTCGAAGTCCATTTTCATAATATGATTCTTGAAACGATGTATACATATTATATAATAATGTAAAATCGTTGTGCGTAAAATCTAAATTTAAATTATCATAAGGATAAACATTTGAGTTCAGAAACACTTTAATATTTTTCAACTTAGAATGATCAAATTCGCTTTTGTCTGCAGTTATTGAATTGTTACGATTTTTTTGGAGGCCTACAATGATATAACGAGGTTTTTCCAATTTCGTTGATGTTTTTAAATTCCATAGTACATTTTTCGTGTTTCCGAGTTCAGGGTAAGTATATGTTTCAAATGATCTAAATGGTATAAACAAATGTTTTTCTTTTTCAACTATTTTCATTAACTTTAGACGCTGGCTATCATCAACACTAACATGAGGAACTTTCCAAACAATATTCTTAATATTCACACTACCTGTAGTTGCATCATCACTTTTTTTAATCAATGCATTTAAATCACTATTTGATCTAGTTAATATGAGTTCTATTCGTGAATTTAATAAAATTTTTCTATAATGCTCAAAAAAGCCTAACCAGTATTTTAGTGGTATACATGCTGTAAAATGACCATTTGTGTCTGATATGGATGAACTATTTTTGAAAGTCCATCCAGCATTTTCATAACAATAATAATTATCTGGTGTACTTGAAAGATATCCTTTGATAGAACTTGTAATACCTAACATTCGTGAACTATCTATCTCGATACCATTTAATTCTAAACGAACTTGTTCAAAAAGAAAAGATAATCCATTATTACCTAGTTTTACTTTATCTTTATCTTCAATGTCGCCTTCGATGTATAAAAAGCTTTCATGTAAATATGGGTATACATCAGTTTGTTGTACACATATCCTAATTTCATCATTATTATTAAAAGCTTTAGTATAAGGAATATATGAGTGAAAATCAAAATTAGTTATTTTCGAATCTGACACATAACCCATATCAACTTCCAAAATATCATTTTCAGGCATTTCGATTACTTTTTAATTCAAATCCAAGTTGTCTTAAAATATTTTTATTTTTTGACGTAAGATTTATTTTTGTTTTTCTCCTTGTTGCTCGGTTAGATTTCGTTTTGGGAATGGAAGATTTTTTATGTGACGGTTCCTTTATATCTAATATTTTGTTTTGGAAATTAAAAAATTTCAACCCCATTTTATGAACCGTACCGTCTAATATGAAAAACTGTTGTAATTTTTTCACCTAAATTCTTTAGTGGTCTTTGATCCTGATCAACTAACTTTACCGTTATATTATTTATTTCATTTGTTATCAATGGATAATATATTAAGTTGCTAGGTGCTTCAACAATTTTTGATCCGTGTACTGCTGTAGGGTAAAACTCATAGACTGAGTGTGAGGGTTTGTTACCATCAAATGATCCTTGAGCAATACTACATAATACTTTTATTGAATTAATCATACTAATATTAACAGTTTTTTGAGATTCGTGTAATTTATTCGGTTCTAATTCCACTTCATCAAATCCTAAAACATGTCTTAAACTATTATCAATAGTGAAATCGATTGTTTCAGAACAGTAAACATATGATTTAAATGTATTGATGTTTGGAAATATGCTAAATACAATATTTGGATGGGTTTTTTTAATCATGTTTTTAATATATTCATTTATTTGACTTAGTTCATAACACCCTGGTTCTATTTCAAGCTTTAAGATTTCTTTATCCGTTTGTTCACTCAGAATGTGTTCATTACTTTTTGAGAAAAAATCGGAAGATTTATTAATATTACTCGTATATGATTCCGTGAAATATTTAGATAAATGTCTTGGATTATGATCAATAACATTCTTATCTGATTCTAGTGAAGAACTACTGCTTACAGGAACATCGCGTTTATTTAATATTGTATTGTTCTTTATAATTATTCTCAATTTATTATTGCTTTCATTAATATTAGGAAAAGAATTATATGTCTGAAGATTTAATAATGCTATTTCTGAGTCCTCAGCTATAGTTAGTGATGGAAAAAAATTTGTTGATAACTCTGTAGTGTTACCTGATAAACTTATTGTTGTTGATTCATACATTGTAAAAAATCAATACATAAATGACCACAAATAAATGTATTATAATTTTGATATTTTGAGTAATTATATAAAATATTGTACCCTTTAAAACGATTTTGGAGTTCAATTGGTGGTGGTAAATTACCAAAGCTATCAAAATACCATATGTTGTTATATTTTTTAAAGTAAGCAACCCAATGCGATCCTTTTTGACTTATTCCAGCAAGGTTAATAACCGCACATTCGTTTTTAAAAATAGTTTTTGGTAAGCTGTCACGTGAAAATACACCACGGAAATGTGGAATTTTTAATTGTGCAACATGTTTTATAATGTCTTGAGAGGAAAGAGGTCTATTAGGTAGCATAGTAATTAGTTTTTTTTTCTTAATATTTCTTCTTTTCTTCACACCTAAACCTGATTTGTCTAAGTATAAACCTTTACCATTACGAACATTCAAATATAAGCCTTTACCAATTTTTTTCGTTTGTCCAGTTTTAGAATCTTTAACAGCTTTATAGATATTTGCTGCACCAGACGCAAGACTACCGAGGGCTGAAAGTCCTGCAAATATTGGTATCAAAGGTATAGCAGAACCCCTTTGATTTGGTACCTTAATTTTTCTAACTTTTTTAGACTTTCTTCGAGATATTCTTTTTCTTACTGCTCCAACTAATTTACCACCTTTTTTAGCTTTGCAACAACCCATACCAATTTTACGTTTAGCTTTCATAATGTTAGTAACGGTGTAGGCTGCAGCTTTTTCCCCGAATGAACTATCTTTTGCTTTCACCCTATCCCACGCTTGAAATTCTAATTTTTTATCAGCTAAATTACGGTTTGTTACGTCTTTATTTTTTAAATACGCTATATCGTGGTCACGACAAGCCTCATCAAGAAGATTTATAGGTTTATCACCTCTAGCCAATCTTTTTTCAAGTTTTGTTCCAGGTCCACAATATTTATAACCTGGTAAATGTGCTTCGAACGGAAGTTTAT